TCGCCTTTCAAAGCTTTAATAATGTAACACACCTTACTGAGCTTTGTACAGACCGACTGAATGTGAATGTTCCATTCTAATTTGTGAGTTAAATTAATACCAAGAAACCTAAACTGTGCTGTATAATTAATTATTATATTTTTAAAGGTAATTACTGGCTCGATGCTATCTTGTAGTTTATTCATATGGAAATACATTGTTGTAGTCTTCTCATTATTTATTACCATATTATTCATTGAAAACCAAGATTCAAGTTGCTTCATTACCTTATCTATTTTGTCTTGAAGAATATTTTTGTTCTTTTCTATTACCAGTATACTGGTATCATCTGCAAATAGCACCACTTCCCCGTTAGTTATATGGAGGGGTAGGTCATTTATGTAAATCAAAAACAAAAATGGGCCCAAGGTTGACCCTTGTGGAATCCCTACCTTTACATTCCTTATTTTTTAATTAAAATGAGTCATACAGTCCCTGTTGCCCTTAGAAATTAATTCCACATATTGTGCCCTCAGTGTTAGATATGATTTTAGCCAGGTATTAATTTGCCCTCTTATCCAACAATGCTCTAATTTTTCTAACAAAATATCATGGTTATTAACATCATAAGCCTTTGTTAAATCAAAGAAAATACCCACTGGTAGTAATTTCTTATCCAAAGCTTCTTGTATCTTCCCGATAAACGACTGACACGCTGATATTGTTGATTTATCTTTTTGAAATCCATATTGTTTTTCAGTTAATATTTTAAATTTAGCTGTGAAGGACATCAGTCTATTGTATACTATTTTTTCCAAGATCTTCGAGAATACTGATAGCGCTGATATAGGTCTATAGTTACTCACTTTATATATGAAACAAACTCCATCTTAAGTGCAACAATTTTAGTGTAGTCCTTTCTTCTTCCCTTCCTCCACACTACATGTTTCGGCCCTAAATGGCCATCATCAGGTGTGTGTATTCTTACGTAGCTGCTACACTGCCCGTAGTTTAAAATTTAAAATCACCAGTCTTTCCAATTGTATGTATGTATAAAATCTTTGTTAACCTACACACGTCAATTTGATTTCTAAAAACAGGATGCTTAAATATAATATTGTTACTCACTTTATGTTTGTTTCCTCTTTTATAAACTGGCTTGATCTTTGCAGTTTTCAATAAATCAGGGAAAACCCCTTGATTTATTGATTTATTAAATATAAAATTGAGTGGGTTTTTTATACTTCAGACTCATATTTTTATAACAAAATCTTGGATTCCATCAGCTCCCGCTGAGGCTTTGCCCTTTAATTTAGATGCTTCTATGACAATTTCTTCTGAGGTTGGCCAAAAATACATTGAATTTGGGTTTCCTGTTACAACTTTTTTTAACAATATTTCTTTGGTCTTACTCTTGTTTTTCTCCACGAGTTCTTCAACTTTGTCTATAAAATATGAGTTCAGTGTGTCAGCTACCTCCTGGGGGTGTGATATTTTCCTATTATATCCTTGTAACTGAATCTCCTGGTCATCCTTTCCTACTTTGCCCATTCATTTATTTATTATCTGCCATATTATTTTATTTGGGTTAGATGCCCCTTCTATCCATTTATCATTTTGTCTCTTTTTTGCTTCTAAAATAACCCTTTTATATATCCTTTGATAACCACTGATACAGCTTACTATTTCGATTGGCAAAGCTATCCTCCATTTTAAATCGCCTAAAAACCTCATTTTCCGGCAAGATATTTTTATTCCTTTTGATATCCATTTCTTATACTTAGTATTTCTCTTTATTACTGGTTTCAGTGGAAATACTTGATTAAAATAGTCTAAGATTTTTTTTATAAATTGCTTATACAGTGGAACCTTTCTTAACGAGCATAATTCGTTCCAGAATCTTACTCGTAATGCGAAACACTCACTAAGCAAAACAATTTTTCCCATATAAATTAATGTAAAATACAATAATGCGTTCCATGCCGAAAAAATACTGAAAAAATTTTATGTATAACGTTTATTAAAAAAAATTGTATATACATTGTTAAGGAGCGTGAATCATCTTCATCTTTTCTTCTATGCAGAATGAACCAACCTGGAATGCGAATTCGAGTTGCAGAAAACAAAAAAAATCGAAATAATTAGTTTATTATTTATGATATATATCTAATTCTTTTTTACTAGAAAGCTGTCTAGAGACATTTGTTTTTGCCGACGCTTCAAAATTTGGTGAAAATGCGACACAGCATTATCATTAAATAAATTTGTAGCGCGCATAGCCACTGCCTTATTAGGGTGATGCTTCTCAATGTACGATGCAACAGTTTCCCATGCTTTCAGCATTTCTCTTATTGTGCCAGAAGATTGTTGCTTTGCTGTTACCTCCTCCTCCTCCTCCTCCTCCTCTGACAAAATCTCCTCCACAACTTCTTGCTGTGAAACACAATGCAACTCCAAATCGTGCAAATCGTTGATGTAGACCGATTGTATGTGCGTGCTAGATCAGCCACGCTCACACCTCGTTCTCGCTTTTCAATGATTTTACGTTTCATTTCTATGGTTATTTTTATTCTCTTATGGCTGTCTTTTTGCGGCTTTTTCTTCGGGGACATTTTTGCAAGGTTTATTAAACTTTGCACAGAAGAAATCACAAATAATATGTCTGAACACAAGTTTGGAAAAATGTGTGATCACAAGCGACACTAAGATGCTAGCAGAACGAGTGCTAAACACAGACTGATGTAGCAAGCGCACAATCCGGGACTTTCCCTCTCGTCACTCGTTATGCGAAACGTCGCTCGTTAAGCAGGTCTTTTTTTTTTACAATTTGTTTTGCTCGTTATGCGAATTACTCATTATGAGAGGTGCTCGTTAAGCGAGGTTCCACTGTATGTCTCATTTACACACCTTTCCACATATATTTCGCTCCAAGATTCACTAGTCAACAAAGTTATAAATTTAGCAATATTGTCCTTGGTATACTTTCTTTTTAAAGCTTTTTTTCTCTCATTATTACCTTTGTCTACTAATACCCATAAAATCTGGGCCAAATGATCTGACTATCCCATATTTATAATCTCAATGCGTGCAGTGACTAATGGGCATTTCACAGAATAGTGAATGCACCTGTAAACAAATCACAATCAAATTGAAACTGATATCACTCAAACATCGGTGATATTTCCTGCCAGCTAAATGTAGTAGTTAACGTTCATGACATGACCGCCCTGAATTAGGCACTAATGTTTCCTCCACACCAGCCACAGTGATTGTACCAAAATAACTCCATGTCCAAGCCTCATTTTTATACCAAGGTAAACCACATGCAAATGAGGTTGACTTTAAACTGGAGACTCTTTCCGAAGAAGCACTCTATACCTTTCAAATCTGAAAACTACTCTTGAGGTAATACTGCAGTTCATAACATGATGTGCTCTCTTGTCTGTTCAGAGAAACAAATATGAGGAATTGAAGCAGGAGGTGAAACATCTGAGGCAAACAACTGGACTGTCTGTCATGGTCCTGGAATGCAAAGTGTCTCAAATGCAAGATCAACTTAATAATATCCTTAAGCAGCGGGCTCGACTGTGGCAAGAGATGACGCAATTGAAGGAGCAGTTTGGGGTGAGTAAAGCTGACTTGTCTCAGAATACAGTCATTCATTTCTTAGCATGTTTTCCTTAAGCAAATAAAGTAATTTTATGAGATTGCTATGCTGTCTGTAAGTTCCCCTATGGGTAATGTGTATTTCATACCCTCTGCCACAACACTATTCCCAGTAGGTGGAGTGAGGTATCTAGAACAATAGGTTTCAGCATATGTGTGCCACCTTCAGATCAGCCTTTAGTTACAGTTATTCTATCATGTACTTAGTGTAAATGTCCGTGTATACTGAATGTGTCCACTGGTGTGTTATACATGTTGTATTATAAGGGTTGGGATTTTATCTGTTGGTTAACACTGTAATTATTTTGCTGAAATTGAAGATTTGAAAGTTTTATGTGACTCTGTAGAGCATTGAACACACACTACCGGTCCACTTCCATGTTTTCTTGTGCTGCTGCTCTTCCTGAGATGGCCCTTCCTAAGTTCTTGTTGAAATGCTATTCCATGGAGTAGGGGGAAGGGTAGTTGATTTCATTGTTATTATTACAGTGTAGGCCTGTTTTCTTTAAGGCATGTGAAAGTTTCTTATGTTTATAGAATAGTTTTATATTTTACATATTGTGTATATTTATAGAGATGATCACAGTGGCCGTGTGTTCTAAGACGTGAACCATCTACACCCGCTTGAACATTGGGGTCGTTGGTTCTAATCCCACTCGAGGCATGCATGTCTGTGTGCTTTTATTCTGTTTGTGTAGTTCTGTGTGTAGGTAGTGGCCTTGCAACGGGCTAATCCCCTGTCAAAGAAGTCTTACCAACTGTATAGGATTAAGAAACTGAAATAGCAGCGAAGGTCCACAAGGGCTGAGAACCCTAGGTAGGCAGATAGTTTTTTTTTTTTTTGCATATTATGATAAACGTTAGCTATAGTGATTTACACAAAAAGATGCAACAAAATACAAGTGTGCCCCCCCCCTTTTGTGATTTTGAACCAACTGACATATTTACACTAAACTTAGTATGAACATGTCATTAGAGTATAAAAGGTATACTTAAGGATAGTGAACTCAATAAATTAATTATAAACCGAAATTAAAATGTTTGTATAAGGGTTATTTTATTTTCACCCGACTACATGTTTTGATCTATCAGGATCGTCATTAGGTGATTTTTATGATTATATATGTCATTAGTGAACTATTAAAATGAATCCATGAAACCATCCCAGCACAGTACTTTTAGCAAATAACAAAATTGTAGGCACGAGAAGTTGTGAGGTGGGCCTGACATTAGCGCCACATAATGTATATATGATAATATATCTTCGATAAATATGCAGCGTTTGATGCAGTAATGTCTCTGCAGACTAAGAACTAAGGGTGATATATAAAGCCCTGTCTGTTGTATCAAAAGTTAAAAAGAGAAGGTTGGATGGGTTGGGAGCATCTAGTTAGAATGCATCAAATATGGGTAACAAAAAATCTTAAGCCAGGAAGTTGAAGAAAAGTGAGAGGGCCCAGACTGATGTGGCTGGAAGATGAAGAGAGCTGAAAGTGAGAGAAGGTGAAAGGCAAATAGTACATATTAGCAGAGCCAGGAAGTAAGTAAATCTCAGCACCTTTAACCACAATGGTAATAAATGTGCTCCCCTTCCTGCTCCTGTAAACAGAGCAGCCGCCAGCACTGCTAAATTCTGTTAGTTTAATTGGAAAATTGTCTGATGTTGCAGTGGGAAGCGCTATATCACTGAACATCCATTTTCGGAAGAACAAGGAATAAATTAAGATGTCTATGAAGTAATGTATATAAGGCCTTTAAGGCTGTATTTTGCTGCACCACTGACTAGAAATTATAGTGCTTAGATAAGTAACCTACTTTTCAATTGGTAATAGTAAGAGAGATTTTGTTGTGCACTTATCGTATTTTGATCAACTTCTGAGTTACAGCTCTCTTTCATAGCATGGCAGGATATTGCGTGCACTTGTTGCCACCCACACAAAAACCAACTGACAGATTAGATGTCTCATGGGCCATGCACCACACATGACTTGATAAAACCTCACAGTCTTCGTTTGTGCACCTGGTCAAAAATATCGGTTATACAATGCTGTGGTTGTTTGAGCTCATTGTCTTGGCCAGGAGTTAAACACAACACTTTAAGAATGTCGAGTGGATCGAGAGCAAAATTAACTGAATATGACTTTAAATATTAAAATGATCTGGGATGGTGTAGACTGAGATGTTTTTACTTTGCTACCCCCATTTTGCCTGGTATGGCTGGTAATATTTCGTGATGCTTTTGACAGTGTTAAGATCTTGTGCCTAAAATGTACAATAAAATCAGTTGCTAGTTGGTCTCTAGTTCCACGTTAGAATATGAATTTAAACATGATCAGTGTTCACAAGTGCAACCATAGGGATCTAATTCACTTCCTTCTCTGAGTCCATCTGGTTTTAACTATTAATATTATTGTTTGCAGATGCAGAGTTCAAGGTCAGAACCCCAGCCAACACCACAAGAGTTCAGGTCCACTTTTCATTAAGGTACGTCAGCCAGTAAGCTTTGTCTTGCAGTTTATAGCAGATAAAATGATACATGTTAGTTGTGATTTTGGCACTAGGCAGTCTATGTGGTTTAATGCATAGTGATTTGTTTGGTATTTATAAGCCTAATTACTATGTGTAACCATGGTGATAAAATGGAAAACGTGTGATGCCGTTTTCTTTCATTTTAAATTGTATTGTATTGTATTTTATTTCATTCATTTTGCTACATAGTAATACTTGGACACGTTATTCAGTAATACAAGTTAACAAAATAAATCTACAAAGTTACAAGCATGCTACCAACATTTGTTACAGTCATAAGCAGTATATAAATACAACATTCCAAAAAATACACAAACTACTATATACAGCTCATGAATGGCTATGACATCCAAACATAAGTACTTGCATCATCCATTTTTTATTAAAACTAACAAATTCATGAATCGTATAAAAAGAATGTTTCAATAAAAATGATTTTAAATCTTTTTAAAAGCTGAAAAACCCATCAAGTTTTTTATTTTGTTTGGGACCTTACTATACAATTCTGTCCCCATATTTGCCACACTTTTTTTTAAATGATGTAGTTCTGCAGAATTGAGCATGAAAATCCTTGTTTATTTGTATTATAACTATGAATATTTATATTTTGGATCAAATCTGCTTTGTGCTTTTTTATGTAACATAACACCTCTAAGATATACAAAGATGTGACCGTGAGGATGCCATAATCTTTAAAAATTTCCCTCCATGACTCTTGTTTACCAAGTCCACTAATTATTCGCAACACCCTCTTCTGCATTTTAAATACCTTTATACTATAACCTTCACCCCCCCCCAAAAAAATATTATTCCATATCTCAATAACAATTGAAACTTTCCAAAATAAATGCTTCCTAACATATTTGGACTCAAAACTCCTCTTAGTGATGTAATTATATAGGATGTTTTACTAAGTTTTGAACATAATGACTGGATTATTTTAATGAAATAATGGGTATTTTGGCATTTGTATCTTTCAGTGAACTAATTTTCATGCTTCAGATAAGAAGAAATTGTCCTGTTATGGAACGCATTGTTTATAGACAGTTGTCGCTTACAAATTTTCCACCATCCCATCTAATCATGAGGTTGCTAAAAGATTCGTGTCACATATCTGTCTGCATCATGGTCACTCACTCTTGAATGTTGACGCATCCTTCTGTTTCATCGAACAAAGGCCTCTCCATGCACTGACATACCTATATAAGGGATTTAAATTCCCCTCCTCAACACACATTAATTCTAAATGTTGAAACTGCCATATTTGGCAGGAAAATGGATAACACTCGAAGTGCTATGCAGATAATTTCCAAAAGCCGAAGTCATGTATTAAAATGTCAGCTGCAACAGCTGAGGACAAGTGTCATATATAAATTTTATTACGGAAAAACTTAATAGTTTCATACATAAGAAGGTGCTATGGAAGATTATTTGTTTTAGAATAAGGAGTATGCATAATAGAAACATTTTAAATGTTTTGATATGTTGTATATCTATGTATATTATATATAAAGGTATGATGAAAACAGTATTTACTTAATGCTGCTTTGTGTCAATTATCTCTCCCCTCTTAGTTCTGCATGCAAGAGAGAGAAATTGTAATATTCTTACATCATTGCCAAACTAAGAACCCTATAGCTTCACAAAATAGCACCCAAAATGGAGCTTGGCACATTACTTCTTGTTTCTCATGAACCTCACTCTTCTTGTTACAGATGCAGTGCTACCCCAGCAGATAACTAACTCCTTGGAGTTGGGTCCTGCCAGACACTTGGCCTGTCAAGAATTTCCAAACATTTACTTGAACTTGAAAGTTCAATACCTAGTTCACAAGAATCCACCAATGTTCACTATCCTGAGCGAGGACAAACCATTCCATACCACCACATACTCTTTCCTACCAGAATTCTATAGGCATATTTCTCCTGATACATGCTATATGACCTGCCCATCTCACCCTCCTTGATTATAGTAATTACACTTGGGAAACTGGGGTTGGATGTTAGAATATTTATGATTTTCTATATGCAAGTGTTGCATATATTGAAATAATACCAGTGCACAATGTTAGTGATATTTATTTTTAATGTAATATTTTTCATATGACCCATGTAAATAATTTTTTAATAAATGTTTGCAGTTCTGTATGACTGTGCATAATGTAATAACATGCCCCAGAACAGGGTACATTGTTACACAACATGAGGGAAATTGTTAATTTACTGCCTTAGATCAGTGAAAATACACCAGTTTTATTATAGGAAATTGATTAATTGGATAACTACTGATGAACAGTTCTGCCATATTTGTTCCCTTTATTTAAGTATCCTGGAAAAGCACAGGACTTGCAGAAAGACTGCCAGGGATAAAACATATCATGCATTCATCTGTACAGCGTTTGTTCCAAATGTTTTCATTTCAATACATGTTTATAAGTTATGCTTGATGTGCACAGGCTCACACATAAAGTGTCTTGTTATTTTTGTCTGATTTTACCCAAACCAGGAATGTGTCAGAAAATTTCCGTAAATATCAGATTTCATCAAAATCCATTTGGCGGTTCTCGAATATGTGCACAGAGACAAACAGAAATGGTGAAGCCAAAAGGTGAAGTAGAAGAAAGAGTAAAAGATCAGATAGATAACAGGAAGTTCTGGTAAGAACTAATCACCTACATGAACAGCATAGAAATCGAAATAATTTGGAGGGAGGGGGGAGCCACAGCCTGTTTCTTAGCAATGATTGGGGTGGTGACACAGACATGGGGACAGCAAGGCCACCTCATAAGTCTCCTGACAAAAATTTATGTGTTTGCGGAAAGATACATAGTCAGATGGATACATAGACAGCAAGGTGATCTCATAACACTCATATATTTTTTTTTTTTCAAATTAAGCAAAACAAACAAAAAATGACTGATATGATATTGTCTGTGTCCCCCTCCCCGCTAAGCCAGAAGAGATGGCCATTGCTATGGAACAGCTTTGTAAACAGGTTGCCATGGCAATGAATGCGCATGTGACAGTAGAATAATTGTTGAAAACAATCATTTCTGTGCCATCCAGGTTGTATCGAGTGCTGAATATGTGGTGAAAGGAAAGTAAAAAGGTAAAGCTGTTCCTGTAATAGGCCATGGAGGCCCACAGGTGTATGAGACCTTGAGGCTCCCACATTTTATAGGCAGTTAGGTTGTCAGCCTTACAAGCTGGCTGCTCTTCACTCCACAGGAGCATCCCTGGTACTCATTTCTGTTGGAGGCTGAGTCGACCCCTGGGCCATAATGTGGGTGGAAGGATTAGGTAAATTGAAAAGAATCCAATGTCCTCATCGGGACTCAAACCTGCAACCTTCCAGCTTGTAGCAGTGCCTCAACCAACTATGCAACCGTGTAATGAAAGGACAGTAGGTGATTAATTCTTCCCACAACTTTTTTTTTTTTTCTAGAAGGTATAAGAATCAATAAAACATCAATCTTAAATGTAATCAAATTATTTTAATATCTATATACTTAACTTTGTACACTATTTACACTCATTATATATGAACTGACTCTCTACTGAAGATATTCAAACAGTTTGCATAACCACCACATCCTCCATCCATGAAAGCCAAAACTTAAGTGGTGGAAGTCTAAATACACATAACTACTATGACAACTACATTAAGAGGGACTGCTACTGTATATGTTATCTCAGAAACTCTGAAAATTACCACCAGAGGGTGGGGAGGGGTGGCAATGCCACTTCCACTGTGACCAGGACCCACTGGTGCCTCAATATTATGTCCAGGAGTAGATACATTTTCACAAACACTCATCACTGCATCACTGCAGCTGTTGCCTCTTCATATAGTCAGACCTGCCTCAGTGCCATTCACTTCATATAAGGTGATGTAGGGCCACCACCAGTAGCAACTTTCGAGGTGGTCTTCTCAGCGTGCAAAACGTGGCCTCAAGGACAAAGAAACAATCTCTTACTTCCCAGGAATACAAGTACAATGTAAAGCTCAACTAAAACATTACAATAACAAATACATAATTATCTTAATTATGACAGAGATCAAATCTAGTTAAGTACACTCAACTCTCGATTAACCGGTTTGCGGCTTGACCGGGGCTACCGAGGCTTTTTTGAGGCTTATATGTTGTTTAAAATTCATTCACTTTTGTTTCACATGGTGACTTATAACACTATTTTCGCACTAGTGTGAACCGAGCTCTGCATTTTTTGGTCCCGTTATGCTAACACACGTTCTAGGGTAGAGGTGAAAGAATGCAAGGATTTGTGGAAAGTTTCAAGGACAGATACACCGCCCCAATTAGTCTCTTTGTATCGATCTTTAAGTGCGTTAGCAAAATGTCATGGTGTAAAAGGAAGCGTGTTGTGTTAAGTATTCAACAGTAACTCATGTGAACCGGGCTTCGAAATGATAAGCAGTGACGAAACCGTAAGTTCAGTGGGGGTGCAGCTAGAAGAGCGGGAAGAAAGAGAATGAGGAAGAGGTGAACAGTGCTGCTAGTAAGAGAGTATCACATGGTGCTGCTCTTAATCATTTGGAATCCTTACTAGACTATCTTGAGAGTGAAGAGAACAGTTTATTAAGTGACAAGCTAATATTACGTAGGCTTTGTGCGGATATCCGTAAAAAGGAAAATGCCACGAAAAAGCAAACAACAATATTAAATTTTTTTAAGAATTAAGTGTAAATATTCGTAAAAAGTGTTGGATGTTGTTGAACACTGTGATTGAAATAACTAATTCATACTTCTGTGTAATGTAAAAAAGTATTAAATAGGCCATGTGATGACATAAAAATGGGGTTGAATAAATTTATATACAGGTAGGCCTATAGGATTATGAAGGTACAGTATTACAGTACTACTTTTAATAAAATTTGTCTTAACCGGGTTTTCGATTAATCGTGATTTCCATCCCCACCATTATCCCAGATAATCGGGAGTTGAGTGTATATATGTAAAATCATTTTAAGAATGTTGCATGCCTTGAGTCATTTGTTAAGAGAAAATGTATTAACCAGAAATGAATTTTCCATTAACTGAAAGCCAGTAACATGAAATATACAATTTAATTTGAATTACAAAGAATAATAATGTGAAATGACTGGTTTAATACGGTAAACTTATTCCTTCAGAATGTTCAGTTTGACTGTAATATTTATCACATTGTTCAGCTTTTCAGAGATATTTCTCAACTTCTGCAGTTTATCACTCTGTTGTAATGTGGGCCTGGGCTTCACTCTGATCATGGTTGATCTGTACAAATGATAAATATTTGACAAATGTGGTTTTTGTAATCACATCTGTGAACTTGAAATAACTGTGAAAGACGTGGTTATGGCTTGTTTCAATATACTGACATGACTTTTGCCTGGAGGGATTGAGGAAAAACACACAAATCTCCGTCCGGACAGTCGGTGGCTTGGCTGGGATTCAAACTGGATATTTCCTGGATACAGAGTATTACAACTTGAGCTGACTTGAACAGCTTTTCTTATATGTTCCATCATCAACTAAATAATTTCATGTTCATCAAATAGTATGCTTTTTGTGCTGCCTTTTACCAATGGAAGCCCCATGCATACTAGGTAAGAACAATGCATACACTCTGCCATTCTGGCTTTATCAAGTGGACAAATTCCACCCATGTATGGGAGAATATGGGTTACGTTGTACAATATGAGCTGTTTTACAGTGTGAGAAACAGCAAACAATTCTAAGAAAGAATCAAGAGGCTGTATTGTTTAACTGGCTAACTACTTAAAAATTATATTAAATACAGTTTTGTTTCATGACATGCAGCACTTTATGGAATTACAAAAGGGAATTTAGTACAGCCAATCGTTAATTGCAAGGAATTTCAAACTAGGATTATGGATGTGAAGGAGCATGGTACTGTAAGGTCTGATAACATCATAACCCATCAACCAATGGAGTCTGAATGAAAGAAGCAGCATACTTAATCCTCCAGTCTTTGCTGGATTTGTGAAGGTTACTTATGGGACACTTTGAGTAAACTTAGAAACCTAAAATCAGAATTGGAGTGAGAACTGGAAAATAAAGTATACAGTGATGAAAACAAAATTGTTACCTCTTCTGCCGGGTGCATTAAGTTAAAGACAATGTGCAATTGGGGCACAGCCAATGTTCCCAGAGCGCAGCATGCAGAGACTGATCCAGACACTCCAGATGGTAGCCACAACAACATTCATCACAAAGAAGCATGCGCTCTGGATGATCACTCCTGCCACACACCTGGAACAGAAAGAACAAAATGAAATCCAAGGTGACCAACTCCTTAAACTTAAAGCAGACCATGCACATAGTAAAAACCACTTTTCAAGTTGAAGAAATCAGTCTTCTGGGATTTGGCACTGTGTATATGTGGTGTTAACTGACGTTTCGGTTTCTTATATTTTTCCTTCTACCCTGAAGATGGAGGCGATACATTCCTCTGAAACGTCGGTTAACACCACATATACACGGTGCCAAGTCCCAGAAGACTGCTTTCTTCATAGTCACTGCCGTGAAAGCCTCAAATCTTACACATTTCAAGTTCTTTTTTCTGGCGATCCCTTTTTGACAATCATTAAATGAGGAGAAACTCTGCCATGAGACAATTAAGCTGGGGCTATGGAAACTCAAACTTAAATGGGAAAAGAACTTGCAAAAGTGTAAAACATAAATGCAAATTGCACTATGTATGGTAACTTCAGCACTGAAGCAATATAATCCAAGCTGTATGCAAGTGTCCACATGTACAGCTTCAGTACTAACTTGCTCTAAGTGTACCTGCTCTGTATCTTCCCAACACTCCTGTCCCTGTCTCAAAGCTTGAGTATCAGAACATGTGGAGACTAAATTAACTGACTGCTGTAACCATAAGTGCATCCCTTGTGGAACCCATAAGCCTGTTAAAATATTCACGTATGGATAATATGGCAGTCTCTTAACGATGTAACACATGTGACAAGTAATCTATCTTGAAATTTTTGTTTTCATTCTGCAGCACACCTGGAAATGTCTGAGTTAGTGATGGCTTAAGAAACACCTCTTTAAGAGCAGAACGGTACTCCTAGTCTCCTCACTCAAGCACCTTTTATATTTATTGTTACTGTTTATTATGAATCAAGTTCTGTTTGATCTGCAAAATTCCTGTATTTGATATCATATGATAGGTATACAAAACACACAATTCCACGCCATGCCAGGAGACAGCAGAACACTACATAAAAATCATGGAGGCATAACATCAACAACACCAGGCCAAAACACAATCTCCACACAAGGTAATAAAACAAAAAAAAAGTAAAAAAAAATTCCAATACAAAACCTACTAGACATCCCTATGCTAACAAAATTTGGATTTCAGGAGTACATGAATACAACGCATCATATACATGTAGGCCAACACATAACCAGAACATCAACACAGTGTAAATACCCCTACCCAATATACAAACCTGTAATACACACACTAAAGCACATTCATATTTGAGATCATAGGAAGAATCCCAAGCTAAACAATGCAAAAGGGACATAACATAAAAAAAAATAAGAGGAAGAAATATATACACACACACACACCTTTTAACACATAAATAAGCCTTAGTTTTAATTCCAATTAGAATAGTTTAATATTTAATATAGTTCATAATATAAGGACATTACGTAAACAAGATACCCATGCAACACATTCCCAACATGTAAACACTGGCTACTTTAGGGAGGTATAGCAGATGGAAAGAAAGGTGTGATTGTAAAAGTTCAATGCATCTGGTGATGGCCGCAATAGGCTGGAACATGTGGTACATGCAAACGCATGGTGTGTCTATACCAGGATTTTGTCAACTGAGTAATAATAGACATGGGGTACACAGTATAGTTGTTTGAGGCACTATGCTACAAGCCGGAAGGTCACAGGTTCAAGCCCCGATGAGTCGGATATTTAAAATTTACCTAATCCTTCCAGCTTCATTATGGCCCTAGGGTCGACTCAGCCTCTAGCAGAGTACCAGGAATTTTGCTGGGGGGTAAAGGGCAGCTGGCGCATAAGGCTGACAAACTCACCACCCTCTGTGAGCCGATTGTTTAGGAAATATGGGAGCCTTGACATCTTACAATCCTATGGGGCATCATGGCCTGTTACAGGGTAGCTAAAAACAATAATAAACATTGTCTATCTTCCAATATGATGCTAAAGAATCATATTTCTAAGGAGCATGAAAGCCACAGAACACGTCAAGTTTGACCTCAGTCCATCATTCTGGTAAAAAAAAAAGTAAAGGTATCCCTCTAACAGGCCGTGGGGGCCCATAGGGTTCTGAGATGTTGAGGTTCCCACATTGTCTAGATAATCTGCTCATAGATGGCAGCAAGGTTATCAGCCCTACGCGCCGGCCGCCCTTTACCCCCAAGAATATTCCTGGTACTCATTTCTGTTAGAGGCTGAGTCAACCCCAAGGCCATAATGCAGCTGGAAGGATTAGGTCAATTGAAAAGAATCCAAGGACCTCATCAGGACTTGAACCCGCGACCTTCTGGCTTGTAGCATAGTGACTCAACCAACTATGCTACTGCATGCCCATCATTCTGATACAGTGTTGAAATCTCTACTGTAATGAGACAGCAACAAACGTAATACATGTTAAGTACTTACTTCACATAACGTTTCAAACTCATCTTCATCTCCATTTTGTTGGCCTGGTGGCTTCACAAGTATTGTGCCACAGTCTGTCCCTTCCAGACAGCATCGCGCATGGATTGAAAAAATTATCTTCTTATCTATGGGGCATGTGTTCGCCCTCTGCAAGAAAACATTAGCATTAGAAGAAACATCAACACCAATAATAGCATAACACAAAACTATAAATCATACCAGCATGGCAAATGAGCCAACTGTGAAGAAAGTAATTAAAAGCCTTTAAAACAAGTTAGCAGCTAGGATTTTAAAAAGTGGCTTTAGGGGAATTACATATTTATTGCTAATGGGGTGGGACTACGTCCCTTGTAGTGCGGCCACTTCTGTCCTATTGTACCATACATATATATTACTTTTATACCTTAACACATCTGGCACACAACTAGGAACACCATCCAGAATTTAGGTGATGGGATTGGTAATGCTGTGTAGTGCTTGCATGTTCACAGCAAATATATATGTTAATTTACTGCGTCACATAATCAAGCTACATCAACTGCTAAGGTTATGTACCACAAAAGTAGATTTCATAGAATGAGAATGGGGGAAGAGCATGGAAGAGGTTGTTACTTGGTAGCCAGTGTCCAGCTATATTGCAACTGGAGTTACAACCATACAAAACTGACTAGTAGTAGAATGTGATTCAAATGCTAAAATGCAGGCAGGATAATGCAATTAATATGCAGTGTCTTCCTGGAATTCACCTGGCCTTGAGCAGATCCGTAACACACTATAACATGTTGCCCTATACTCACAAGAAAGAACTTGATTTTGGTTCAATGAATTTTCATTAAATTTAGTTGGTGATTATCGATGACATTTGTCATAATGCCTGATTATAAGTTATATTCGCTTTATGTGAGCTCCATACCTGTACTTAAAAATATTGTAATATGTGCACAATAAAATGAAATTTAATATGAAGATTTACAAGCCCAAATTGGTATTTACAAAAAAAAAATCAACCAATAAATTCTGCCCATTTACTTAAAGAATACAATTAAGGTCTACATTTCTGCAGTTTGTATGTAGCCACTTCTCAGTTTACAAACCTGACATCCCTCTAATAGTTTGCAATATAAATTAACTCACTGATGTTACTAACCAGCACCAACATTAATGGAGATTTAAATTCTATATTCCTTCCTTGTAAGGTTTAACCACCAGATCTTGTTTGGCCAAAATCTCTAGTGTAGTCCCTTTATGTTCCTATTTGCTCCACTTACGTTTTAATGCTTCAGATTTTGTTCAATTAATTTTACCTCTTACTCTTTTATTTAAACTATTTAAATGTTACAATTACCTCTGACCACTCTTCGAGGCAGGTACAGCAGAAAGTGTGCTTGCAGCAGTCTGGTATCCCCACTTCCTGTGTAGTAAACGTGTTGAAACAAATGGGACATTCCTCTGCTCCAGCATCACTGCTGCTTATGACATTTACAACTGGTTCACCTGACGGTGACATCAGTTCTCCACAAGGGCAAACCTGAATAAGGAAAATTAAACTTAAGGCATAGTCACTACTAAGATTATTTGCAGTCACCCCAAATTAAAACAGCATATTCTCATTCATATATTTCATAAAGTTTCCTGTTGCACTGAACACAAACATTCTTTCTACAGTAGTACAGTGGTGAAGCTGGATACTGAAAATAATTTATGTTCCACTGTTCAGTTCTACTTTTATTTATCCTCTATCCTAGCAAATGTACTAACCACTTTTCAGCATAGCATATAACCATTACTAAAATAAAATATCTGTATTTCGAACTATTATGTGCTCTTTCATTCATAAGAAACTAGACACACTTTCATCCAGCATGATGTCAAATCCACCAAATACTGACGTGTTCCTTGAAAACTTAAGTTGACATTCAACACACTACATAGCATTATATCCCAGAAGATAGAACTCTTCATAACCACTGTTATGAGAATCTGAAATCTTTTTTCATTCTTGCTACAGGTGAGAAAATGAAAATCATACATTTATAACCTCTGATCTTAAGTTGTTAGGAGGAAGATGGGACCAAAGATTTTGAAGTGAATGACTTCATGCCTTCACTGAATTAATTCAGCTGTTCATTTTATTTGTTACCATCAATTGAAGTTAAACAGATTTATTTATCTACATTATTTATATAGTACAGCCTCAGCTGACAAGGCTAGTGGAGGGAAGAGGAAGGATAAGGAATTGAAAGTCATGATTTCACCTCACATCAGAGCTATACCTCCTTTCCCAATAAGTCTTCATGTTGTGGTGCTCAAGTAAGCACCTTTTTATGAACATGTAACCTTCCCCACATATTTACTTCCTCTGTGTTGGATCCAAGCATTTTCCTCAGCATGCTGGTCAGAAATACGCCTATTCTATGTTATTGTATGAGAGACCACACCCTCATAACCCCCAATGAAAGAATTTATTTTTTAGTTGTTTTTTTTTTAATTGTTTCATTTTGGTCCGTTACACTATTAATCACAAAGTTAACAGAGAGTCCGTCGAGTGTAACAATTTGTAGGTCACTTTTTATTATTATTTCTGCCTTACATGTTTGGGTTTAACACAACCATCATCAGAGGCACTTGCTATACTTATGGAAACACTGTCGCTGTTTTTGATGTTCACAATTATGTTTGTCGTGTGGACACTGCTACGATATGTTGACGTGTAGAAGCACAAAACATGCTAAGATAGTTGAGTACACTCTCAAGTTCTCACTTTTCATCCGAACCTATTTTTAAGTTAAAATGCTAAAATGTTAAAATATTTGATATAAAATGCTGAACTCCTCCTTGTTAATTCATCCCGAAGATGGGAGACGTCAGCTTGAGGTTGTATGGCTTATGGTTTGATATGTTCCTGTGTGCTGTGTGCTGTGTACAGCGACAGTGTTTCCATAATTATAGCAAGTGCCTCTGATGATGGTTGTGTCAAACCGAAACATGTAAGGCAGAAATAATAATAAAAAGTGACCTACAAATTGTTACACTCGACGGACTCTCTATTAACTTTGTTATTTTTTAGTATTCACAACTGTAGATAGTGGATGGGATGAGCAAACACTGTAAACTGAAGCAGAGAATGGATTATGTATAAATATTACTTACTGGAACCTCTCCATGCTCTCTATATCGTTCAAAAGGGCTCTCATTTGTGATGGTGTGACTGTTGTGACCCATTTTGTAGCCTATAAGAAAATAACCATACATGTATCTTTGGTGTACATTTCCTATCATTCACTATATCTTGAAGCAACAAACTACTGCTTAGTAAGACCAAGCCTTACATAAGGCCACTCCATAGCTCAAGCGGTTAGTTGCTGGCTTCCCACCGCGGCGGCCCGGGCTCGATCCCAGGTCTGGTCAAGTGGAATTTGTGGTGGACAAACTGGCGCTGGGGCAGGTTTTCTCCGAGTACTTCGGTTTCCCCTGCCAATCTTCATTCCACCAATTGCTCCACAATCACCCTCGCCTATCATCTGGGGCTGGTACAATAGGCCAGAAATGGCCTCAGTACAAGGGACTTAGTCCCACCCCACTAGCAATAAAAAAAACCTTACATACATACAAATTACTCAACAACAAAACTTATAGATCAACAGTTAATTTTTAGATGTATTGCTACATATATCAAATGATTAAGAAAATAATTCAGCATGAACATGATACAGTTATAATTTATATAAATTGTAGAAGACTGAATATAAAATAGACATCATATATCTTCCCAGATTAACAAGCTTTACAAAGCAAATTTAAGACTTAGAGAGAGATCTATTGGATTGTTAGTAACAGTGTAAACACTTGTAATTCTGTATTTCAGCATCCTGTTGAACATCATTAATTAAACGTGTATGTATTTAGTCCATCAATAATGCAACAATTGTTAAAATATTCACCATTCAACACCAACACGACACGTTAAGGCCAAAGACGGCCATCCTCAGGTGTTTCGATCCGTCTAAATTTCTGTGGTCTAAACTGTTACACCTGTTTTCATGTACACTAAAATTGTGCATTGCAGTCCAGTTAAATTAAAATCTTTCATAAAATCCTATCCACCTCGTAAGGGGCGTCGCCCACTTGTTTAAAGCTATGTGAGGTGGATAGGATTTTATGAAAGATTTTAATTTAAGTTGACTGCAATGCACAATTTTAGAGCACATCAAAACAGTGTAACAGTTTAGACCAGTGGTTCTCAAACTTTTTACCTCTGAGCCCCCCCTGAGAAGAGAAAATACTCTCAGGCCCCCAGCCTGTTTTTTTTTTTTATCAAAAATAAGTCATGGTATGTTTGACATTTCATTCAGTTTATTTTGTGTTTTTCTACATAATATTTAGCAGTTTTCTTACTCAAANTTTCAATGCTTTTTGGCTCAAAGTTTGGAATTCCGTGCCAATATGTATCCAGAACTCCAACAAAGACAATTCCTTAAATTTACTTTTTAATGAAGTATCACTAGTGAGATCGATGAGTTGTTCTTGCTCATTTACATTCAGAGATGATGGCCCAGGAGCATTTTTGAATGGATTTTTAATCCAATTAAATTTATCAAAATCATTGCAAAAGTATTTTTCGAAATGCATTTTCAACATTATGAGATGATCAAGTAAGCAGCTTTTTATGTCCATTGGAAGCACTGGATTATCAGTGTCTTGTACCATTGACACCAGAGTAGGGAACATGTCTAGCATGTCACTTTCCATACTGTTTCTCCAGAGCTCTAATTTTCTCATGAATGCCTTCACTTTGTCATTCCAAGAAAGTACAGTTGCCTCTTTCCCTTGAAGTGAAGTGTTGAGGATATTTAGTTTCTCCAACATATCTGTAAGGTAAGCCATTTTCAATAAAAAAATCATTGTTGCTGAAACTGTCTGCCAGTGAGTGATTTTGCCCATTTAAAAACAGAACACCTCATGCCTCAGCTTAAACATTCTCTTTAATACCTTGCCTCTTGAAAGCCATCGAGCGTCACTAAAAAACAACAGAGCAGTGTGTTCAGCACCCATTTCCTCACACAGCATTTTAAAAAGTCTAGACTTCAGAGGCTGCTGTCGAACTATCAACGCTGTCTCTGGCATATGCGTTTTATAATTGGCGGTAAAGAGAATAATTATTAGTTACTTTGAAATTCATGATAATTAGAGCCTGTACTCATCAAAAGTTTTTCTATATGTATTTTTATTTTTTATTACTTTTCTAATTGATTTAGTGCAGTTTTAATTTTTATCTGTAGGATAGTATGCTGCGCCCCCCTTTCAAGCCCTTCCCCCTGGGGGTCGCGCCCCACAGTTTGAGAACCACTGGTTTAGCCGCATCGAAACACTTGAGGGTGGCCGTCTATGGCCTTAATATGTCGTGTTGGTGTTGAATGATGAATATTTTAATGATTGTAGCATTACTGATGGACTAAATACATAGACGTTTAACTGTAAACACTGTTAGTACTGAATCGACTTTTTTTTATTTATCCAGTACGTTTTGTAAGAATTAATACAGCCATTCAAACATATTTAAAACTAAACGCCAGCTTTTAAAAACTACTCTAATTGTATGGAAATCATAAAACACATCTGCCTATTTGATTACACATAATTAAACTTCACAATTTTCCCAGCATTCAGTACTGATTACACTCACTACTTACAATTCAATAAATCTCTCTTTAAGTCTTAAATTTGCTCCGTAAATCTTCGTAAAGCTTCGAAAATATCTCCTGCACTACCTTCCGTGGTTGTTGAAATGTCCGAAAACGGAAATAAGTCAAAACGTTTCAACTATCGCTTTAGTACAAATTAATATGGGCACGTATGCGCAATTATTATATTGTAACGTGTTTGGCTCCTGAGACGCTGTTCGAATTGGTGATTGGTTTTATTTAACAACCTCCAGGTCGTAACTATAATTACTTATTACACTATTGCTGATTTACACAACTTATAGTCACTACATGCCCATCTTTTCGTCCCTTCTGGCCCTCGTCATGTAGCTTCGAATCGGACAGCATTGAAAACACCGACTGTCACGATCGTCACGATCAACAGTACAGTTGTTTCATCCAAACGTCAATGACGTCATCGCGACGCGTATCGTCGGAAACGCGGTAACACCCTGTACTGTTGCCGTGTGACGTCATTGCGCATGCGCGGAAGTCTGTTTACCGAGCCGGCTTTAGAAGCAGATTGCATAATCTCGTTTACATTGTTGTGTAACTTACCAACCGCCTGTTTATCAACAGTTTGTCTTCATAGTAACTTGTTCTACATCTCGTTGCCTAACAAAGGGTTGACATGTCACAATATAATTATTATTATTATTATTATTATTATTATTATTATTATTATTATTATTGTTGTTGTAGCGTAGTTGGTTGAGGCACTATGCTACAAGCCGGAAGGTCGCGGGTTCCATTCCTGATGAAGTCACTGGATTTTTTCAATTGACCTAATTCTTCCAGCCGCACTATGGCCCTGTGGTCGACTCAGCCTCTGACAGAAATGAGTAAGTAATTTTCCTGGGGAGTAAAGCGCGGCCGGCGCGTAAGGCTGACAACCTTACCGCCATCTTTGAGTCTATTGTCTAGATAATGTGGGACCTTCAACGCCTCACAACCCTATGGCCCTTCACGACCTGTTACAGGGATACCTTTACTTTCTTTACTTTTACAAATACATCTAGACAAAGTAAAGCAAGGTAAAGTTACACCTGGGATGTATTCATTAATAAGTAACATGCTAATAAGTCTATGAAGGCATGGAGATATAGCCCCATCAGAGAGAGGTGTGCGAATATCACTTCTAACAAGTACATTGGAGAGAAAAACTGAAAGCATAGCGAACTTAAAATTTTTCCGCAAATAAAATGCATAATACAGTTTCAATTCATGAAATTGCACATACGGTGCTTCAAAAATGTGCCCACAAGATTTATTCAAATACTGTAACATGTAACTCTAGAAATATGTGAAAGTAAGTAAAGGTATCCCTGTAACAGGCCATGGAGGCCCATAGGGTTGTGAGATGTTGAGGTTCCACATTTTCTAGACAATCGGCTCACAAATGGCGGCAAGGTTGTCAGCCCTACGCGCCTGCCGCCCTTTACCTCCAAGCATATTCCTGGTACTCTTTTCTGTTAGAGGCTGAGTCGACCCCAGGGCCATAGTGCTACGGGAAGGATTAGGTCATTTAAAGAAAAACAAATGACCACATCAGGACTCGAACCCGCGACCTTCTGGCTTGTAGCATAGTGCCTCAACCAACTACACTACCACAGGACTAAAAAATACATTATTCATTTTTATTTTTGCATTTTTGACCCATGTATTTCTGATAGAAAAACGGGATCTTCAAATTTTGGAGAAAGAATGATTAACAAAAGTATGTTATGCTCTATTAATACCTAAAACGAAATAAGGCCAAGCCAAGTTACAGGAAAGTTATATTATCCCCAGCATTCAGAACATAATTTTGACGTTGGGTGTGAAAAAAATTAATGCTGCCAAATGAATGATGTCCCCATGTGTTTTAAACCGATGGGAGAAGTAAAATTTAATTTTGGAGAAGCAAATTAAGCAGGCTAAAGAAAACTATTATATTATAGGAAGAACATTTCTGTTGCTTTTAGTCTGGAGCCATTTTCTCGGTTTCATTTTAATTTTCCACTTAACAGGATTTTCTCTCATGTCTTTTCCTCCCGCCCATTGTAAAGCTTCTATAGCTCGCCTATGAAGAGAAACGAAGCGTCTTCGACATTGGGTCTAAATCTTGAGATGAAATACCTGGACCATTCAGTGAGGCGCTTTGTTTGAATCCATTCTGGCTTCTGAGACTGTATAAACATGGATTGCCTGCGGGGCAAAAGAATGACGACTGGATCCATAACCAACTCCACAAGGTGGGAGTGTTCTTGAGAAGCTGCTAGTCCGTCAGCTTGCCAAGTAATTTCCCCATTTTTTATGGAACTCTCAAGTTCCTTAACATGTACAAAGCAGTCCGCCACTGAAATCTATCCTAAGTCATTTGTGTTCAGTTCACACTGTCATGCCATATTCTCTAAAAAGGCACATGCATTGTCCTCTGAAGTATGCATCTCTTATGTTTCCCATGTGTGTTATATGCTGTGTCCATTTCGCCGTCTTTGACTAATTCACCCTAATAATATGAGACGAAAAGTACTAAATACGACGCTCCTCATTATGCAACTATTTGCCATAGTCTTATTAGGTCCTCCCTCAGCACCGTTCTCAAACGCCTCAGCCCTACATACCTATATCAAAATGCAGGCCTGAAGATGTCCTTGTGCTTGATTAAGCAACGCGCGATTAAGACGTATGAGGCAATGAAATTGTAGGTTCACGCATTCTACAACGGTGTGAGACAGGGGTGAATAGTAACATTCAGGCTCTGGCAACCTTCCTGATGGGGAAAGAACCCCCCACCCCCACTATGTAGGATACTGACAGCCATGCCGGATCACCACGAATGCATAGTAGCTGGATTCGTTAATATCGTAACACAGTCACTCGCCAATACAACATAAATGGGAAAAACTGCGAAATCCGATGCACTGTAATTACTAGGAACAACTGCTACAACTCCCTTAATAAATAATTCGAAAGTTAGGCCATACTATTTTTGAGCCCACTGAAACACTAGCAAGGGAACAGAGGACTAACTGAAAATAATTGCGCCTTACTCGTATATACCATGTATATCGGCAAATAGGGAAGAAGTAATGAGAAACTGTTTTCATGTAACCCAGAGCACTTCATGGGGGGGCAAGGAGAAGGGGTGTATTTGCTTAATTCTGTCGGAATTTAATCAGATATCTTTTTAAAAGATATTTAAATTAGCTTCAATGGTAGGATGATCAATTTATGTGGAACAGTTAGTGGAATGAGAATTGGTTGGGGAAGCCGGCTTCAGTACCATTTTATCCATTATGAATCCCACACAGCCTTGGATCAAGCCCAGGGCCACTGTGGAGGGGACCCAGCGACTAGCCACCTGAGCTGTGGTACACTTCTGTTCTTTCAAAGAACTGCTGGGTCTGAATTTCATGAAATGGACTGACAGCATTTGACACAGCCATACACATACTTACCAAACGGTCCCCCTTTTGTGATTCTCTACAATGCTGAAGCCAAACACAGATCCTGATGTACTGCGACATCTTTACGATGTTTACGACACACTCCAAATCTGCACAGAATCCAGTTGTGACTCGACTGTCAAACACCGTAAGCACCGCAATAATGGCACACATTAACTACCATTCCATTAATAACACACAAATTATGGATACTGTTGAAATAAGTTTGTAAATCAACGTATTTCTGTAATTTTTGCTGAACAGAAATTCGAATTACTTTACACAGAACTCCATGTGGTAAAATGTGGTAATTTATCTCATACGTTTTCAAAGCCACAATTAAGTATAGTTTAGGTAATGGTATGAAAATATTACTTGATGTTAATTCATTTTAAAATAACCGTTTAGGTCCTGAAACAAAACTTCTTACAGCACTTCTTGCACACGTTTTCATTTTGAAAAAATAATTGACATTTTTAATCTCAACAAAATTCGTTCTTGAAGCTGTAAAATAGTTAATTAATCTTCTTACACCCGTTAACCTACATAAAACTATAAATAAACAGCTTCGATTGTGTTTTCTTAATTGTGAATTTTGAAAATTTGCTTCAGCGAAACAGAAGGCGCTTACAACCAGGCAGGAACATGTGGAATAATATTCTGTACTTATTACTAATCGGCTGGTTTATATGGCCACGACAGAACACGGTGCTACTGGTATTTGATTCAAGTAAAACATAATCCATAGTACTCACAGCAAATGTGAAATAAAAGAAGCTATTGCTTGGACCCCGCCCCTCCCTCCACACATACACAATGCAGGACACTACTGGTACTACCATGAAAGTTGGCTCACTCGACAACGCTTGTGTTCATGCTTTTCTCATTCCCTCCAGGAAAATGTCAGAATAGTACTTAAATCAGGCCATGTAAACTTTGAACAGAGGGACATTCGTATTACAGAATATCTCTTCACTTTTTCAAATTAGCTAATTTTCTTTTCATACAACTAATTTTAAGAATCTAAATGCTATGCATCATTTATGATTCCTTCTGCTGAACGAAGCTGTTAAGTGTACACATAGTATTTTTAAAATCTGCTGTTATATTACAGATGAAACAACAGAATATCATAAACGTACAGCCCTAGCTTTAACTCAGTGAGAAGAATTGCAATCGCTTTCAACTCTCCACAGGTGTAGTGTCAGATATATTTTACAAAAAAGTGAAGATTTTCGTAGAATTCCTGCACATGAATAGCATTTGCTGTTGCAATTGAATATTTCTTAATTAAGCTTCACAAACTTGATAAATGAGTTCTATATATTTGGATCATATTTTTCACCAAGGGCTTCCATGAGAGTGCGCGTTCCTTACAGCACACTAACTTTCCTTTCTGAGAAAAACAAAAATACTGTCATGATTTTATGGAGTGATTATAGACAGAGTTTGGATTGGTAACTGGATTTAATGACCATTTACAGATTATAACTACAAGCGACCATAGTGCTTCTGCCAATTCACACACTCTGCAGTTCACTGCAGCACATACTAAGTCTTCTCAGTCTGCAGTGTCTTCACCAGTTGTTGCCTGATAATGGCTTTCAACAGTGGACATTCCCATTACTCTGGGTTCCTGAACTATCCTCATTCCTCAGCTACCAACTTCTAAGAGCAACAGCTCACAATAACTGAATTGCAGTTCGAACTCACCAACCAACTCTTCAATTCCCTGCACAGCACTGCACTAACTCACTAACTGTCCTGGTTATAACATCTCACACGGACTGCATAGACAGCACCATTTCCCAGACAGTACATTGGTGCATGATAGGAATCTGTTGCCCAGCAATGGGCATTCTTTAAAGAGTCATTACTTAACAATGGGCCTACATTCTACAATATCATAAAGCATTTTCTAGAAGATTCCAATCCTAAAATCTATAAGCCAATATTCAGATTGATTTTTTGATAAACTAAGGCCAGAGACAATATCGCTCAGGTGTGCTTGAGCTATTAAATAAGGCCCTGTCGATGATCAAAATGATTCAGACAGTTGATCAGCAATGTGTTAACTTACTGTCATTACACTATGTTAAAAGTCATCATTTTCATACTCTAGACTCCCTGTTTCTGGCAGCCTTGGTACTGGCAAAACTTTCCTGCCAGTTTCAGGCACGAAATATGTTGATGGTAAATCTTGATATTGCACCTTGTGTTTAGGCTTTCCAGTGCTGCATAATATAAATGTTATTCAGTAGTATTAATCTGTTAATTGTTTTGTGAACTCTCTCCATATCGTGGGAATAGCAAGCATTTGGCCAGACCCACTTAGCTCGTTAGAAGTCTTACACATATAATATAGCATATATGGGGTTCAGACGTCTTTTCATGATTCTCTACCTTGCAACCAAAATAAAGTTCATACTATTTGTTTCATAAGTTTTCTCAAGAGTCTGCGTGCTTATAGAGGATTCTTGCATACACACGCACACATGCAAAAATGGTGAACATTTATTGCTTCTACATGAATATGTCTGTCAATCACAACAATTTGATTGTTTTACTAAATTATTGTATATAAACTCAGCTTTATTAAGGTGTTATTTTGCTGCATGTTTCAGTCATTTGCAACCATCATCTGGTGTTTATAATTGCTTAAAATTGTAGTGTAGGGTATAATAGACAAAATATTTAGGCCGAGTATTGAGCACTATACAAAGATGAATTGAATTTGATCGACATAATAAGGTACAAATTAACTGTGAACATAAAGAACCATACAACAGCGCAAGTAACATTCAACATGGCAAACCAATATCTATGCTTCTTGATGATGTCAGTCATTAAGAATTCTGGTCCTCATAAAAGTCGTATAGGTCTTGGCAATTAGACAGTACAGGAGTATCTTTCAGCCTGTCTCCTACAATGCTGAGGTAGTCACCATAAAAATGTTTTGTGGGAAAAATGCTCCTCATCACATATATCAGGACATTTCCACTGTGAAACTTTTGAGAAAATCCTCAGGTTTCCACAGCAGCAGGCAGCAGAGTTTTAGTGCTCTGGACAATAATGTCCATTAGGGAGAGACGATATCAGCAGCAATATGCGCGTGCAGAAGACAGCCTTCCACACTGTAAAAGAAAACAAAACATTATGAAAGAACTACAAATTCCACATATAAAACAAATTACAATATAGAAAAAACAGGTAAGCACATGTTGACAGGATTACGAAAAAGATCTGAAAAAAATATTACGTATAGAATTAGCACACAGTATCATCATAACTTTCAGTACCTACAAGAGATTTCCTGTTTAATTACATCTGACATGTGTTATATCACTGGATAGTGATAGTGTTAAAGTTGTTTACTTCCAGTGATCATACCACTACTGCTAACACTCAAAGAGCAGAAAGCAAAATGGTGAAATTTAATGGTGCACAGTGAGCTCAGTGTGTTTCTGATTCCAAAGATACAGTCTGATAACCAAGTTCAGAGAAAATTCTATGTACAGTATGCTAATGAACCTCCTGCTTAGAAAATTTTCTCATTCTTTTCAGTGATGAAGACAAAGCAGAGAAACATCCAACTTTTCAGCAAGATAGCATACCTCATTTCCATATCACAGTTTCTATGTTGTCATTTCTCAGGTCAGTGGCTTTGGTGATGTGGTCAAACTGCAAATACACCTCACTTTATAGACTTAACTCTGATGAATAACTGCTTCTGGGTATGTGTGAAAGATATTATGTTCTACCCATTTCTGCCTAAGCATGTCAGAGACTTAAACAAGGTCATAACTGCTATTGCATATACCACAGATATCCTCTAAAAGTTGTAAAGCAACTTTACACTCTCCCTACATTATTACAGTGTTATAAATATGTCTTCATGAGTTAATCTTAGCTATTATTAAGAACCTGGTAAAATTAAAATTAAAGTTAAATTCAACAGCTATTCTCTTCATGCTTTCAAAGATGGGTAAATGATACTGATTATTCAGTAAGTGATATTCATACTTCAAAATTCCTGGTATCATGAATGCAGAGAGAATTCCCACATGATGTCTTTTTAAGATGGAAGAGAGCCTAATCAATGACTCATACAAGTAATTTACCATTAGGCTGGGGACATACATACATAACATTACATATAAAACCTTAAATTAACTGAAAACTTCAATACGAGTATGTGAACAGCAAGCCACTCAACACAAGGTAATGGCTGATATCAAGGCCATAAGGACTGGTCAAGAAAAGATGAAGGCAGGGAGTAAGCTCCAATTGGTCCGAACTAAAAGATATAATGAAAATTGAGTGGAGCACTTCCTGTCATCTGTTGACCAATGGACACAGGACCTCTGCGAGGAACTCAATATGAAGACTGAAGAAATGCAGCTGGGTTTAAAAGCAGTAACAATGTCCCTCACAGCAGATACAAAGGATCTTCATGAGCAGCTGAATCTCTGGATCCTAGAGACTCAAATCAACATAGAAGCAAAAGATCCTAGCAGAAAGCACACAGTGTGGAACAGGAGGAACTGAAGCTCAGGATAAGCTTGGATCTTGCAGGAGAATAGGAACTGGCACAGGCATGAAGCAGCCACCTAAGTTTCACAGACTGACTTCACGTGCCATGTTCCAATAGCAGGTGAAGAATGTGGAACAGCACCACTACTGGACGCCCCACAAGAAAGCTACATACATCATCAATGCCTTGAATGAGCTGCCTGCCCACATACTACATGGTATTCCTACTGGAGCGATGTACAAAGAAGTTACTGAGAGGCTTGAAAATCATTACAACCACCACCACCTTGAAGCAGCATGCCACTGTTAACTAAAAAGAAAAACACAACTTGTTGGGGAACCCTGCAGGACTTCGCCACTGTCATCGACCATTTGGCTCATCATGCCCATGTTGAACTACAGGGTGATTCATATAGAACCGGCCCGATGAAATGAACTGTAATATAAAATATACCATACAGATATTAAAGTAATTTACACATATCTTATCTTGGATTGTGTGCCGTGATCAGAGCAGGTTTTGAATGTGTCCCCCGTCTTCAAGTAGGCACTAGAAACACTCACTGTTCAACAGTGTACTCCATGACTGTCGCCTGCGCACTGCAGACAAGTTTCGGGATTGTCCTTGACCTTGCAGCATAAGGGCTGCCACTTCCCGGATCATGCACACACCATTCGACTCAGCACTGCTCACAGATTATTATGTCGTAATTGTGAGCAGTTATATGCATCACCTGCGGAATTATTAACAAATTCATCGGGCCAGTTCTATACGATTCACCCTGTACCTGAACATCTAATTAGTACATAAGCTGCCTGTGCATCGTTGATGGGATAAGAGGATGAGATATAAGATGGCAGCTACTCTTGGGGGGCAAGAAGACACTCAGTGAGGCCCTCAATCAGAAGGCAACCAACATACCAGCTGGATCACCCTCCATAGTTTGGTAAACAACGGCCAGGACATTCTGGAGAAGCCAGCCCGCCCCCCAATAGAACAAAGAGGTTACTAACAGCTTATATGCTGGCACTGTGGGAGCACCTGCCACTTTTGAAAGAATTGCTCACATGAACCTGATGACCTGTGCTGGATAGTAAACGACCGACACTCGAAGAACAAACAGGAACCAGCAAGAAGTGACAAACAATGCTCAAGAAACTAATGGAATGGACATGAAGAATTAACAGACCCACAGAAAATGAGCAGGTGCTGGATGGAAAGGGGCAACGTCAGACCAGACTTCACCATGAGACTGCCAGGGATACACCTGTCCATGCTGTATGTCCTGCAGACGGCATTAGGACAAATCCTCCTCATCCTGAATGAAGCATCAGTAAAGATGAATTTGACTTGGGTATTCATCACCAATATCACCAATGAGTTCATCCTGCAACTGATGTCTTGTGCACCCATATCCTTGGACCTGAGGTGCCACATGCTATGAATGGGCAATGAAGAGCCACTGTAAGGCCATGTGGCACAACCACATTAATCCCTCTATGAAGAGAAACAGCGAGGCAGCAGCAGCTCGGTGTGACAGAGTCACAGTGGTGCAGCAGGAAGAACCCATGGACAGCCTCAAGGGCCACCAGTGATGCTGAAGCGAGGATGCCAGTTGCCCATGGGACAGGACTCATGACTTCATTTTCAGCCTGATGGCTCTGGAAGCCTTCGGTCTCTCTCGGTGAGGTCCAGCAGCATTTTACCATACTGACAGTCATGAGCTACAAGTGAGCAGTTAGACTATGTGGTTGGCAGTACGGAATCTCCATCATTAGCAGCTGTTACCTAGCACCAACTAATAATATGATAACACACAGATGTGCTGTATTTGGAGTGATTTATAGTGTGCATAAATTACTGAGACTCTTATAATCTTCTGTAATTGTGAGCTACAAGCATCCATTAAATCAATTTATCAATCCAAGCCCCATGTCTAGTCACTAACATGTGACAATACATAAGAAAGTGGGGGTTCCATGTTACACTCAATGATCTGACAGTATCAACAGAGAACTTACCACAATCCTTCCTTCTGCATTAAGAATGCAATGCAGTATACTGTCCATTGACATTTGCTGTTTACAAACATGAAGGCTTAACCATGGGAAACATTTCTTCCATTATCCTTTTCATAACATGTATCCAGTCCCGTACATCAGTTAGAAAATTATATGAATCTACTCCGTTATATCTTTTCTGAAACACAAGACATTTAGTTTGTCTTTCTCTGTATTACATGGTTTAGCCTGAAAAATATGTTCACTTGATGTGGCTTTATTTTGCAAATTCATGGGAAGAAACTCATAGTAGTAACTACTGGCTAATTTATATTAAGAGATTTTGCTTCAGTTTTTTTTTTCACTTATTTTTTAATCGATGTTAGTGGCAATAGACTTCCAACCCCTTTCCAACCATTTAACTTACATCAAACACAAAATGGGTGAATAAAACAAAATACAGTAATTTTATAAAAATTCATTGATAAGAATGAGTTTCATTATTTTTTCCCATAACTCTAAATTCTTAAAAACATATCTCTTAATTCTTTCAGTTTCCTGTGTTCAAAACAACACATTTTGTTTAAAGTATGATAACAAAAGGATTAAACTCTTACATGTTGTCATAAATAGTGTCTTTTTTAAGGATTCAGAGTGGTATATGAAATTTAGCTTGGTAATCTTCAAGGAATGCATCCTGTTGTATTAACCTATACTTAGTCATTGTTTTCCATCTCAATGCAACAACTCTCAAAATCTCATTTACATTTAGTGTATAACAAGTATATTAGTCTTAAAAGTATGAGTGTGTGTTACATGCTTCAGCTTATAAAGCCATCATCAGGCAGTACACTTTAACAAACGTTCTCAAACTACTGAACTGCACTTTATATGAATTCATATATTAAAATATAATAACTACTACTAACGTACCTGACATCCATGATATGTATATAGTGGCCATCTTGTAGTGCACTCAATTTCACCTGTTACTTCACAACATGTTTCGGCAACATAGTGCCATCATCAGGTGCCCTAATTACGCTAATCTATTGCATTGCTTGCCTTTATATGTCTTTATAAAATTATTGAAAAAGTATTTAAAAAGTGTGTATTCATCAACTATAATAAATTTACACACACTAAAACTTGTTAAGATTATTCATCTTATGTGTTTTAATTAAAACTTGTGTGTGGTTCTTCTACTATGGGGGTCGTTTTTCTTATATTCTGTGTAAACCGTGTCCTGTGATGTGTGTTCCCTTTTTAGCTGCGAGTGTTGTGAGTGATTACAACAAAACAAAATTGGATGTTGTTTTCAATCATATGTTTACGTAGTTTCAAAATAATCAATTAGTGTTGAATCTGGATAAAACAAAAATGATAGAATTCACACCAACAGCAACTACAAGCTACCCTCTATGTACATTCTTTTTTAACAAAAAGCTAAAAGAAGTAGAAATGATAAAATTTCTCAGTTTGCAGCTGGACAATCATCTGACCTGTAAGGGACATATCGATTTTTTGCTTCACAAGTTGAGCACAGCTGGTTTTCTAGTGTGTAAATTATCCTATATATTAAATATTAATAACCTTAAAGCTGTATATTATGCATATTATCATTCATTGGTGAAATATGGAATAATATATTGGGGAAATACATCACACAGTCATAAGGTCTTTGTTATACAAAAGAAAACAATAAGAATAAAGATGGGAGTGGGCCCAACTCATACATGTAGAGATCTATTTAAAAAGCTTGACATACTGCCAATGCCATGTGTATACTTGCTCTCATTGATAACATCTGTTGTTAATAATTTGGATAAGTTTCAAACCAATAACTCTGTATATGTGATTGGTACCAGAAGGAATGACCACCTTCACATACCTTCAAAACATTTATCATCCTATCAGAGAGAGGTGTATTATTCAGGCATCAAGCTATTTAATACTCTGCCATCAAATATCACAGTTTTAAAAAATGATAAAAAGCAATTTAGGTTTGTTTTACGAAATTATTTGCAAAGTAACGCATTTTACTTCATTGATGTATTTGTCGAGCATGTAAGGGGCTCAAAAGTTAAGAGTTAATAAATGGTCTGTGTCCCTGAATTATACATTGTTGAGACTTGCTTGTTGTAAGTGCAGTAGTATGTATGATGTCTGTTTTTTATTATGAATTTTAATATTTTATAATGTAACTGTTTGGATGATATGGCTTGCGAGTGTGTGTCGAATGGCAAGGTGTGAACTTGATTGTGGTATTTCCACGACCTATGTGTGTTGTCCTGATAACTTGAGCTATTCTGTCTGAGGCTTGGTTTTATATTTTATTGGACAAAGGACAAATGATGTGTAGTCATCATGAATTTGTAATATGTGACATGTTTTATATCCAGCCCTACAGGGAGATGATTGGATCCATGAAATGAAAAATAAATGTAAATGTAAACTTGTAAACAATTTTTTAAGAGTGTTGCATGTAAGACAGAATATCAGAGGTATTTGATACTTATAAACAACGTGCAACAGGATGCTACAATATAACATTATTTTAGAGCTTTTTGAAGTAGGTAATACATATGAATATGTGTATGTTCCACAACCATTCAAATAGTACTGTGTTAAGTGCTGTTCAGCTATTGATTCAACCAAGTTCTTTAGTTTGGAATGCTCTTCATTGCATAGGAACTGCCATTACATGTTATTTCTTACTTGTGCCTCTGCATTCCGCAGCGCTGCTGTTGCAGCATCACCATTTTCCCGTACATCATCTAATGGCACAGCCTCAATTGTGACACTTTTGCAGGTCTTATTCCTTTCCCTTTTAGATTTTGGAGATTCTAAATTCAGTAATTCATGCAGAATGTTCTCTTTTTCCTTCAGCCATTCTCTTTTATTTATACATTTTTGTGAAGTAATTAATGTTGTAAGTGGATTTTCACCATGTGTCTTCATTCCTTTTTTCCTTTGTTTATATTCTTTTGGTGCAACCATCAGAGCAGGCAAATTTTCAATATCTTCTTGCAGACATTCTCCTTTCTTCCTGCCAGCCTTAGATGCAGTAGTTACCTGTAAGATTTTATCATGTAAACATTATTATACCTGTAGGGATACAAACAGATGTAATTTAGGGCATCCACAGATATCTAATTCAATAATAATAAAAACAAATGTTCTAAGATGGTCCAAATGTGTTTACAGTCTTCATGTCCATTTATTGTAGATAACATTAATTTCTTAATTTCATTCATCCTCCCATTATATACTCAACTTCTGTGGAAAAAAGAATGTTCAAAATTTTTAACACAAAGCAGCATATAGTTCAACAGTTCATAAAACCAACCAAGACTATAGCAATACATTCTCTTTTGTCAGCTGAGCAACATGTGTGCACGCACACATACACAGAGCTTACGAATATGCATAAAGACAAAATAAATAGATGCAAAAAAGATCTGGGTAATCCTACTTCCACACTGCACTGTCTTCCACAATATGCAATACCATATTTACACTCTCTCTTTTCTGCCATATTATTATGCTAGGTTTTAACGTCATTAAGCATTTTATGCATAAATCTCTTTTAAATAGACATAAATATCTTCGTTGCTTGCATCCTGTTGTGTAGCATTAAGGGTACTAATGTGGATGTTAACACAACAGCCTGTGCGTAAATAAAACTAATGTGTTAATATTTGTTTTTATTACAGATACCACTACATGCTTCAATCAAAATGATCATCTACTAGTGGCTTATATGAAAATATATCATCATTATTGACTTGTTTGACTAACATGGACACATAAATAAAATAGAGTACATATTTTGTTGCATTTGAAGGCATATATCTTAAAGTATGTTAAAATTTAAAGTTAAAAGTTAAAAATTAAATGTTAAACATTAAATTAGTAGAACTGAATAAAGTACATCTTAGTTGGGTCAATCACTTTCCTACAGTCCACAATTACAATTGAAGTGTGGCTGATCAGAAAACAGTTACAATGACCAAAAACACACAATTACTTAATTATTACTTAATATTACTTAATACCATCTACTTTTGTCCCTGATGTTATGTATATAAGTGGACTATACTTTACATACTGAATGTCAGTTTATTCTGAAGAAGCTCCTTCGTGTGACCTATATAAATTGTGTTTTATATACATGCCACTTACTTCTGAACACAACTCCTTGGTACAACAAAAGTGCTTTACATATCTAATGTCACTTACTTTTGAAAACAGATCCTTCATGTGACTTTGTATATCTAATGCTACATACCTCCTTAATCTGACCTATAGTGCTTTACATAAACTACTTGTCACTTTTGAACACAGCTCTCTGGTGTGACTAATGTAAATGCTCTATATACCTAATGTCACTTACTTTGGAAGACGCATCCTTGATTTGGCCCATGTGAGTGCTTTCGAATTTCTTTCCATCATGGAAACTTTTGATGTGGTTCATGAGTTTCCTATTGCTTCTGAAGGATCTAGAGAAGAGAGAGAGAAAAAAAAAGACAAGCATTCCAAACATAATTTTAAATATACCACCTCTAGCATCCCAGTACATGCTCTCCTTGGCTATGTTTATGGTTACCAATAAATCGTTTAGACAAAATTCTGAAATACATAATTTTAATACCAGGAATAATTCTAATTTTTTTCAAGTAACAACTCACTTTATGATGTGTCATAAAAATCCTGCCTATGCAGGCATTAAGATCACCTTCCTGCTGGCATTAAGGACTTGGCATGTGATATTAAAAGCTTTAAAAAAGCATTATAATAATAATAATTTATTCTTATATTCAAGTAGATCCAATTACAGGGCAAGAAACAAGTTGTAACACCACTGGATATAGAATGCATCAACAATCAAAACAAATTATTTGCATGGGCATTCTTTTTATACTGTGAAAGAATTTTTTATGCAATATGTTATCATCTACCTTTTGGTATGATGATTTTTTACAATATTAAATTTAAGATGTTATGTTTAATATTAAAGTAGGAAGATAAACAGTTTGGTTTATTGTTTGATTTAACCTATGCTTATTTTCACAGCATGTGTATTTCAGTTACTTGTCTGTGACTGGTTCTAGATCCGTCAGGTGTATTTGTAGCCTAGATTGGATCGACAGAATTTTACAATGGAATAAATATGCATTAAATTAGATAAGCATTTCTGATGGTAATACTAACATCACTATAACAATATTTATAGTGTTCTATTATTTTCATTTTCTTTCTCAACAAAACCTTCTAACGACTGCATGTCTTATTATTATTATTATTATTATTATTATTATTGTACTGTCTTGTATTCGTTTTTGACTTTTCTATATCTAATGGTTGTACCAGTATGGATCAACAGAAAATAATAAATGTAAAGTAAACTGTATTTCTGTACAAAAGGTTCAGTTCTAGAATGGGATCCTTCTCTCTAACCTATTTAAAAGTCCATTCATTATGCACCCACAATTAAATTGTTTATGTTTTCCATTATTATATTTGGAGCAAAAGCAATAGCAGTGGTAGTACAACATTCATTATGATCATCAATGTAATGAACATCTGGCAACACAACCCCAAAATCTAATGTCATGAACACAAAAGCCCAGTCCTATACCATTGCATTTCCCTCAACATCCTTACAATATCACTGAATTTTTAGATATGTTATTACAACATATTTCAGCTTAACTCAGCCATCATGAGGCACATACACTCTTGCTAAACCTGTTGCACTGTCATCGTAGTATGTTACATGTGAATGCATTATTATTTTAATTTTAAAATCTTTTAAAGTTCATAGAATTGCTCATTTCCCTGTGCTGTTTCTGGTTGTGTCAGGCGTGGGTGTTTTCTGTGATAAGTAATAATTTTACTGTGTTAATAATTTTATATATATATATATATAATGTAACGACCATATTACTATATATTAGATGTTTGTTTGCATTATTTAATTAATGTGTATTTGTGACTGTTGTGGTAGTGTGTGGATATCAACTCCATGCTGAGTTGGTCTGTTCTGTATGTGTACGGATTATGAACATTTTGTGTGGTTGGTTCCAGTTTGTTGGGAAAAGGATGGGAGTGTGCACTGCCATCTAGTGTAGAATTCATACAGGGTTTAGAATATGGGGTTTTGTAACTTCATGTGTCATTCATATGTATATTGTTTTTACTTATTTTATGAAGGTGGTATTTTTCTCAAGGAGTCAGTATAGCGATGGGCTACAGGCTGGAAGGCCAGAGCTTGAATCTTGGCTTGGGCAAGATGTTTCTCTACTGCATAGCATCCAGTATGACTCTGGAGCCCACCCAGCCTCCTATCCAATGGGTTCTCAGGCTTCCCCAGGGGTAAAGTGGCAGGGGCGTGAAGGTCATCACTCACCTCCATCTAATGCCAAGGTCAAGAATGGTACAGCTATACCTCAACACCCTCATATGATTTCATGGTACAGTTCTTAATTAGGTAAGTACAGGGACAACTTTACCTTACCTTACCTTTTTTTTTTCCTTGGCACTACAGCCCCAGTGGCCCTAGGCCTACCTCCATGAACTTCTCCGTTCACTTCTTACTTTACCTTACCTTACCTTTTGTTTCTTTTATACTATTTAAGTGACTGCCCATTTGCACCATTTTTATAATGTCCATGGTGTCAGTTTTGGTTCCATTTGTGTCTCCTGTGCGTAGTTTGTGGTTTGAATATCCAGAATTGCTGGTGTTATTTCTAATGGCTCATCCATGTTCCATCAGAAATAACACCAGCAATTCTGGATAGTGAAACTAGTGAAATGCTGTTTGAAGCATTGCTTTGTATGGGGCTGAAACTTGGACACTTAGGGCAGTAGATCAGAATAACCTGGAAAGCTTCGAAATGTGGTGTTGGATAAGGATGGAGAAGATCAGTTGGACCGATTATGTGAGAAATGAAGTGTTATTTAGAGTCAGTGAGCAGAGGAATATCCTTCACGAAATAAGAAAACGGAAGGCTAATTGGATTGGTCATATCTTACGCGGTAACTGCCTTCTAAAAGAAGTTATTGAAGGAAAGACAGAGTGGCAGATAGAAGTGACCAGAACACGAGGAATAAGACGTAAGAAGATACTGGATGACCTTGGGGACAGAAGAGGATATTTTCATTTGAAGGAGAAAGCTCTAGATCGCATCAAGCGGAGGAACTGTTTTGGAAGAGACTGTGGGCCTGTCGTCTTGACAGATTACAGATGAATGAATGAATGAATGTTCATATCTAGTGTTGAATGTTCTTCCTGTTTGCCCTTTGTGTTTTAATGAGCAGTCTATGCACTTCATTTGGTAAATGCCACTTCAAAAATATTACAATGCTATCTGTTCCTGCCACGCACATACAATGTTTGCAATTCAATTCACATAATTACAGACTTACAAACCACGAGACATAACAAAGATATGTGACTGTGTTCTTTCAACACAGAAAACATGTACATTAATATATCAAAACATACTATGTATGTACTTATGTATGACCATAACTAGTAATATACTAAAAATAACTCAGAAATCAACGAAAATAAGCAAAAGAAACCTTACACACACTACAAACAGTGATGGAACAAAACTGTTTTCAGTTTGACAGTACTACAAACTAACCAGTGGATTTGCTGTTGGCAGAAATTATACAAGGGTTGGACAAAAGAATGGAAACACTGCAGATATTGTATATATTTCTTTATTAATATGGTGTTGAACCATATCTTGCCTTTAGTACATGTGCATTCCTTCTTGGAATGGACTTCTACAACTTTTGAACAGTCTCTAGTGGAATTTTATACCATTTTTTTTAAAGAAAATCTTCAAGTTGCATTAGAGATGTTGGAGATGAGACTCTGTTCCTCACTCTCGTCTCCAAAACTGACCAGAATGGTTCAATAATGTTCAGCTCAAGTGATTGGGCTGGTCAGGGAACTTTTTGGAGTTCACTTTCATGCTCTTCAAACCATGACTGNACTCTCCCATGCCCGGTACGCCCCCTCAAAGGCCTCGACCGGAACCTCATTTAAAGCTGTTGTCACGGCCGCTTGGATAGCCTGAATGCTTTCAAAACAGCGTCCTTTGAGTGCAGTCTTGATCCTCGGGAACAAAAAAGAAGTCGGCCGGAGCTAGGTTGGGGCTGTAGGGTGGCTGCGGCAGCGTTGCCACGTGGTGCTTCACCAGGAACTCACGGACGAGCAGAGACGTGTGGCTTGGCGCATTGCCATGATGCAGCCGCCAGTTAGCGGCGATGTCTTTTTGCACGCCGATGACCCTTTTCCTTAATCTTTCTAGAACATCCACGTAGTAGTGAGCGTTGACGGTTTGTCCTTGGGGTAAAAACTCTTTGTGGACCACACCCTTGGCGTCAAAAAAAATGATGAGCATTGTTTTCACTTTGGATTTGCTCATCTTCGCCTTCTTCGGTTTCGGGGAAGCCGAGGTGTGCCATTCAGCACTCTGGCGCTTCGTTTCTGGGTCGTACTCAAATGTCCACATTTCATCACCGGTAATAACACAGTCTAAATAATGAGGTTCAATTTCCAAACGTTCCTTCAATTCACTCGCGATCAACACTCGATTGGCCTTTTGCTTGTCCGTCAACAATTTGGGGACCAGCTTGGCGCACACCTTTCACATGTTCAATTCGTCCATAACGATGCGATGCACAATGGTTTTTGGAATGTTGAGAGTGTCGGCTAACAACCAGACGGTCATTCGACGGTTGGTATTCAACAAATCACGCACACGAGTCACATTTTCATCGGTTTGGCTTGTTGATGGCTGTCCAGAGCAGGGGTCATCTTCCACTCCTTCCTGGCCCTCCTTAAACTTCTTCACCCACCTTGTAACTTGCACATATGATAGAGCAGACTCCCCGTAGGCTTGCTTAAGCAGGTTGTGAGTTTCGGCAGCTTTTTTGTTGAGCTTTGTGCAGAACTTGACCGCCCAACGCTGTTCGAAAGTATCCGCCATCACACGCCGTGACGTGGTCACAAAAAACAGGTGCACTAAATCAGCGATACTGACGCCTCTGATGCTCGAGCAGACTGACACTGGGCGCGCTGTGAAGCTAAAGCCCTCCCCCCCCCCTAACTCAACCGGTTAGAGCGCGCTCCGACCAGTAGGAGTGCGGGAAAGAAATATATTTCATAACTTTTGGGACACACCTTGTAATCAGACCAACAGAATACTGTACCAGGATATTGCTGCCAAAACCATCACAGAACCTCCTCTGTGTTCACTGTTGGAACTAGGTATTCTGATTGTAGGCTTCCTTTGGTGTTCTCGAAACATAATCTATTCCTACTGTAGAGAACAGCGTGAAGGACAACTTATCTGACCATACCACTTGTGTGTTTCCAGTGGTCTGATGTCTGGGTTTCTTATGGTCGCGACACCACCATTTATGCATCAGAGCATTATTTTCAGTAATCAGAGGTTCAGCTGTTGCAGTCCTACCATGGATGTTGGATGTGTGAATTTCACATAATACAGTTTTTGTGGAAACAGTATCTTCAAGATGAATATTCAGTTCTGCTGTTTCCTATGCTGCAGTAGTTGTGTGATTTTTTGAAACACTCCTTCTCAATGCATGACAGTCTCATTCTGTCGATGTTGATTTTCAAACACTAAACCTAAACGTACATAACCAAGATGCACGAAATACACACCCTTACAAAATGTTGAGCATAAAGAGTACTACCAAGGGATACTTGTATGTGCACGTTTTTATATACTTTTAAGAGTAATAATATTTTAGCAAAATAACTGATTTAAGCAACAAAAAGAAAATTATATATACAGCCCTCACAGGCTAAGATATAAAACACAGCATATCAATTTACGTGGATCACAGGTACTTGACGATGGACCCTGTGTGACCAAAACATGGCATTTAGTTTGTAAAAAGACATGGAATAGGAATCAGGTAGCTGCACTAAAGACTAGTACTGTGCATACATATTAAGAGATAAAGCTAGTGCAACAGGATGCTAAAATACAATATTTTGAGTATCCTTCGGCATCCACATGTCACCTGACTATTCCATCTATTATAAACATATACTTGTAAGTTGAGGTTCTCATAGTGGTGCTTAAGAAAAATTCTATCATGTGGGATATAATGTTGTGTAATCCATTGAAAGACAACTGACATTTTGGAGGAACCTCCATCTTCAGGACTGAAGAGTGAGCCAAATAAGAAACCAGCAATTCTTAAACTATGAAGGAGACAACATGTTTTTCCAAAACATATGTTCACTCTCAACTGGCCTCATGGCATTATGTCCCAGGAGACAGAAATCTTCAATTATTATACACACTGAAGTACGCCTCAGCCCACCATGACACCATCACATTCTGCATGCATTACCACTCAATCACACACAACCATACCTAGGGCCTTATGGATAATGGATCAACAACTTTTCAAACATTTCACATAATCCATATGTCTTCACAACTAGCCTACACATGTAACACAAAACTTCTTTTTAGCTAGTTACTTAACAATGTTATCATAACTGAAGCCATATAACACTGGATGACAGGACGATTAACCTTTAAACGGCGGACTTCTGAAACAGTGGTAAGCTTGATCTGGCCGGAGTTTATTTAAATGCCCGCTGCTGGTTCGCGTTTAAATGCCCGTTGGTACTCCGAGTTTAAATGTCCGTTTATGTTAGTGCGCCTAAATAATTTTAAGCATTCTGTTTAAAAATGCTGTATCTAACTAAATTTTTATGATAAACGGATGGAATTAATTTTGTCTGTATCAGCAAAGAACATACTGTCGCATATTATAACGGAAGATTTGAAATTTTTTATACAAATTTTACTCCATTTTCAATTTTTTGTCTTTTAATTTTGATGAGTACTGCAAAAATTATTTCTCAGTTCTTCACTAATTTGTTCTGCATTACAAATTCATTTCTGTTTTTAACACTTGACAAATTTTAGCAGTCCCTGATGTCATAAAACAGATGGAAGCAATAACATCATTTGGTCTTCTGCTAGCCCTGCTTACACTCTTCGGATTTTCGAATCTTTTGACTGAAGGTCAGAAGAATGAAAGAATGGCTATTCAAGAGAAATCTAGAGGGGTCCCTTCTTCAGTGCTAAGACCTTCTGTTATAGCTGCAAAAGCTTATTGCCTTTCTATGGANGTTGTTCATTTAGGTATCATTTTAATTTTTCTATTAGGGCTTTACTCAAGTCTCTCTGGTAATTACTACATTTAAATTTAAATATTTAGGACTGTACATTCGCTTCTACTAGCGACGTGAGCGCGCACTTCCCCTAGCAGAGTTTAAATGCCCAACTGGACAAAACGGGGTACTTTGGCCATGACGACCTTAATCACCACTGGCACAAACGGGGCACTTCGGCACTAAAAGGTTAATGAACATGGAGCAGTTGGTGGAATGACAATTTGCATGGGAAACCAAAATGCTAAGAGAAAACCACCCCGGTGCCACTTCATCAACAAAAATCTCGCATGGACTGACCTGGGTTCAAACGCATGACCTGACCTGGCTTCAAATGCATGACCTGACCTGGGTTCAAACCTGGGTGACTGTGATGGGTGACCAATGACTAACCACCAGAGCTATGGCACGATCCAAGACAAAACTGGCAGTAGCACATTTTCAATAGACCAATGGTGTGAGTAGGCAATATGAAGAACAATGCATGGAAGAAAACTTATGCAGCACCACTTAATTCTCCACAGAACATGACACAGACCTTGCAAGAATCAAATTCATGAACATAATATGGGGAAAAGCCAATTTCTAGCCATTACACCATGGGAATACTTACTTTGAACAGGTCCTATGGGGGCAGAAATACGTTCTTCTTTCTGACATTTCCTTGCGAATTAACAAATGTCTCCACAGACTAGTCTTTTCCATGAATACTTTATTGCAACAATCACAAGTTAATCCTTCTCCAGATAATTCATGATGAACAGACATATGTATTTCAACAAACTCCAGTTTGAAATATTTTTTGCACAAGTGACAAAAGAATATTCTATTTTCAGATGATTCTCTGTGACCAGTATTAAATCTTTGTACTTCAACATCTTCCTTGCATATGTCAACAGGAAAATCTTCCCCAATACGAAGAGATACCTGTCCTTCCTGGCAGTCCCTTCTTGTAAACACTGACTTGCATGTGTCATAAGGAAGTTTTTCCACTTTATGGACAGACATATGTATACGCATGTTCTCACTGGTTGTGAAAACTTCCTTGCATATGTCACATGCAAACCCTTTTCCATGATGACGAGACATGTGGTTCTGCAGAGATTCCTTTTTTCTGAACATTTTCTTGCATATGTCACAACGCAACTCTTCTCCTCTACAAAGCGACATGTGTCTAGACCAGTTGGCCTTATTTGTGAACATTTTCTTACATAAGTCACACAGAAACCCGTCTGCTTCAGCAAAAGACACGTGCTTCTGCACAAATTCCTCTTTTGTTAACACTTCCTTGCATATTTCACAAGGAAACACCTTCACATGATGAAACATGTGGTTCTGAATGTTTTGCCTTGTTAAGAACACTGTTTTACATATATCACATGCAAACACTTTTCCATCATGAAGACAAATGTGGTTCTCCTTGCATTCATTTTTTGTAAAATTTTTCTTGCATATGTCACAAGCCAACTTAACTTCATTATGAAGAGACTTATGTCTGAGCATGTTACGCTTGTTTGGGAACATTCTGTTGCATATGTCACAAGTGAATCCTCTTCCATAATGAAGATTTATGTGGTTTCTCAAATAATACTTTGAGGTGAACACTTTCCTGCATATGTCACATGAGTATCCTTCTCCTTGATGAAGAGACATGTGTCTCTGCATGAGTTCCTTAGACTCAGATCTTCTCTTACATATATCACAAAAGAACTCTTTCCTGTGATGAAGAGACACATATTTTTGCCTGTTAGTTTCACTATTAACATGTTCATTACATTTACTGGAAGCAGATTTTTTCCTTTCACACAGCTCTTGGTGATTAGAAACACGCTCCAAGTTGCCTTTCTTGAGACTTTTCTTGCATGTATCACGCACAAACTCTGTAAAAAAAAAAAAAAAAAAAAGCAGACACAAGATAGCATACACATCCATGTATTTAATTAACATGCGTATCAAGGTTCCTTATACTCAACAGTTCCATAGAGATGAAATTATTCTGGTAATGTAAGATTTGAGGTTTTCACGTTGGTGACTATGAAGAAAGCAGTCTTCTGGGATGTGGCACCATGTAGATGTGGTGTTAACCGACGTTTCAGAGGAATGTATCGCCTCCATCTTCAGGGTAGAAGGAAAAATAAGAAAATCAGCTAACGAACAGACAGTGAGAACAGGTGCAAGCAGACTAATGTTGGAAATAAATTCAGCTATATGAGAGCAGGAAAGGGGGGACAAGTTTACATGGGAGATCAGCGGAGAGGGAGAGGGGAAGGGTCTGCAACAGGAGCAAGGTTAGAGCAGATTTAGGATATTGTGTCGGGGAAGAAAGGCAAGGTTAATGGGAGGGCATTAACCCTTAAGTTGGGGGGATGCTATGTGAGTCAGTCCCCCTGGGACATGATGCCAGATCCACAAGGCCACACAGTCCATGACTGACTCACATAGCATCCCCCCAGCTTAAGGGTTAATGCCCTCCCATTAACCTTGCCTTTCTTCCCTGACACAATATCCTATACCTGCACTAACCTTGCTCCTGTCCCAGACACTTCCCCTCTCCCTCTCCACTGATTTCCCATGTAGACTTGTCCCCCCTTTCCTGCTCTCACATAGCTGAGTTTATTTCCAACATTAGTCTGCTTGCACCTGTTTTCACTGACTCTTCGCTAGCTGATTTTATTATTTTTCCTTCTACCCTGAAGATGGAGGCGATACATTCCTCCAAAACGTCGGTTAACACCACATCTACATGGTGCCACATCCCAGAAGACTGTTTTCTTCATATTCTGGTAATGTTTTCAAGAAACAACAAAAACCAAGGAAGAGGAACTTAGTCCCATTAGTGATTGGTTTGGATTTGAACAAATCAGATGTAATGTTTTGTACTTGTACATGGCTGTCTGACTAGCAGCAGGGTTAAGAGCTATCTGGAAGAAGGTTTTTACAGTTCTCCTCTCTCTCTCTCCAGAGTGTGTGTGGACAGTACCCTTACAGATGTCACAGCAACCTTCTCACAAATCCTTTACCTACTCGTAACTCAAGATTATTTTACCTCACACTACTGTTCAGATATAAGTATTGGATAATAATCCATCCACCTGAAAGGTTAAGACTCAATACATGGAATTCTTATAACACCACTGTACTATGAATTCAGTGTCATACTATCATATCCAGAAGCGTGACCCATTTAGAACCCAATTTCATTTTATGCATATGAGTGACCACATTTCCAAACAGGTCAGACAATATAGGCCATAACACTCAACTGTCTCACAATTTGAGTATGCTGTTCTGTGATGTAATTATGCAGTTGCACAGTCTAGTCGTTGTTTACTCCTCATACAGTACGGACGTTTTCTTTCGTATGATGAGGCACCTCTACTCTATTAATTAACTTGCAATGTCATGAGCCTCCAATACCATCTCATATTTTTATTTTGTCCACAGAACGTATAAAGTAAACATACGACTGATTAGATGTTATAAAACATCAATTTTAATCTTGTTTTATATTATAACCTTCAATTTTATATATAAATGACAGTTGTATTTTTACACAAAAGAATTAATATTTTGTCATTGTATCTAATTTTACTACAGTTCAATAGTATACGTTTGTTGATTTGTATTCACCTGATGATGGCCATTAACGGCCGAAACATGTAATGAGGCATAGCTGGGTATTGACCTTGATACTCCTTAGTTGTTGTGTTGTGATGGAAAAATAAAGTTATACATAAACTTAGTAGGGGCTACACTCAGATCCACTCTAAAGTATACAACTGGATACCGCACACAGGGAACACTTAGTCCATGCAACTACATAAGCTTAGTAGGGGTATGCTCTGATCCACTCTAAAACATATAACTTGGATAACCAAGAGAAACGCAACAAATAACGAACAGATCGCATCCCACAACACTGAATTTATAAACTACACGACAACATGGCGGGACATAATGCGACAACCCCCTTCAGCATACCAACATGTCTGCTAAAGTTTACATGCAACCTAACACAACTTTTAGTTTGAAATTTTAAATATCAATTTTTACAGTATATTTTTATATCATTCATATCATATATCATTTAATACTGTATTAATATTGCTGTGACAACCACCAATATATCAAGACTGCAAGAAACACACACTCAATATGCAGCAAGTATAATAAAAAAAATACAGTATAAATTGTAAATGATTAATGAAATATTAAGGAAGCAAACTGGCAGATGTCTTTTGGTAAATTGCTAGTAATTTCTATCCATTCAGGACTTGAGGTTCTCACAGTGGTCATTATGAATAGATAAATCATCTGGGATATGACATCATATAGTCCCTGCAAGTCAACCAACATTTCAGAGGAACATGTCACCTCCATCTTCAGGGTTAAGAATAAGCCAAGCAAGAAATCTGCATGAAGCAAAACGCTTCAATTCTATCCACCATTTACAGAATAATTTTTTTGAAAATGGCATTTTAAGATTTTTGGTTTTAAATTTTCTAAATATCTTTTGTACTTCTAAATTTGAATGTCACATAATGCCATGCAAGGTGTAAAATATGCGGGAAAAGTGCCTGTAAAATAAAAGTCACAGAGTGAAATTATCTGTATTAGTCATTGTGGGTCTGTTTTTTTTTTTTTCCAAAGATTTACACTTCTGCAAACCATATATTTTTATGTTTTTATAAAATTAATAATTTACCATATTAATATGCTTCCCTGCAAGCCAGATGTATGGGAATAACTAATTATGTCAACTTTAGAATCTTTTTTACAGGCCTGTTTAAATTGTAAGAGATTCAGTCATACCTGACTAGATTAATTTATAGTCTACAGAGAAGGTGTTGCCAGCTGCCATCTTACATACCTGGCATTACAGAACTCACTGCTTCATCAGGCACAAGCTCCTTTCTTCTTTGCAATATCATATAGTTATTAACACATCCCTAGATAAGAAAAGAAAATCAAGAATACACTAATCTTTGAAATGGCATATTTTAGGGTTCCAAAATATAAATTCCTTCTTCCTTATTTCCATACTTGCAGATGTTTAGAAATCCACTAACATAAATCATCGCTACCTGTTAAAATGATAAATAATCTATGGGAATATCAAATTTAATAAATTATATGATGTGCATGTCATTTTTTTTGTATTGTAATATGGCAATGTATATAAACACACACACATATACATAACTATAACAATGATGATGATGATGATGATGATGATGATGAAGACGACGATAATAATGATAACAGCAACAAGATCAACAACAACACTGCACTCCTGCTCCAGAAATCCAAATGAATGCTTGCAATAACAAATTATAAGGAAAAGTGCTGATGTGGGGATATTTTGGATAAAGGGAGCCATATTTTGGGGGATCTACCACAGTCAAAAGATTAAAACATTATGTATTTGGAAGGTATGTATTCAAAAGCTGTAGTTATTATGTGAATGCATTTATGCATGCCGGCCTACTTTTGACCCTTGAGGAAATTCCAGCCGTCATATTCTATGGGTTAACTTTTAGAAACAAGTCTTATAACAAAAGCAGTTTTTTTTCTCTCCGTTTGTGGATGCATTTCAGGAGGAAATGTGGACATGTGGATTGGTTAATGTCTAGATTGGGCTCCGCATGTTACGTGATTAAAGCACTAAAATCTTACATGTCTCAGGGTACATTAAGAATGATTTACCTTTCTTACTTCCATTCAATTATGACCTATGGTTTGGTTTTTTGGGGTAATTCCCCTTATAGTATTCATATCTTTAGGTTGCAAAAAAGGGCGATTAGAATTATAATGAACTCTGGGAACAGAGATTCATGTAGGGAATTGTTCAGGGAACTGGAAATTTTACCCCTTCAATCTCAGTATATATTTTCTCTTGCAATGTTTGTGGTTAATAATAAAGATCAATTTAAGTTAAATTCTGAGTTATATAATAGGAATACAAGATATAATAATAAATTCCATTATCCTACATGTAAGTTGACTGTATTTCAGAAAGGAGTGTATTACCATGGTATTAAGGTTTTTAATTGGCTTCCTCCTAATATAAGGAACCTGGCTCAAGATGTTAAACATTTTAAAATTGTTTTAAGAAGATTTTTGTTGATGAACTCGTTTTATTCTTTGGAAGAATACTTTGATTGTAAATTTGACTCCAATAATCAACTGTGATTATGGTACTGAATGTCTTATATTGTTATTTATATTATTATTTCTATGTAGTGTTATTTGTATTATCAATGACTAATTCCTTATCCTATATGTAGTAGATTTATGGAATGTAAATAAATGATGATGATGATGATGAGAATGTTTCAGCATCGGAATAGACTAAGGGACATATGAGTAAACATTCCTGGAAAATTATTTGGAAAGTGGACATAACCTACACTGTGGATATTGTTGAATAATAGGTTTTAATTTAAAACACAATCTGCAATGCAAACTACACTGAAGCATCAGTGACAGGACCTCCACCTCAGTCAACAAGTGTACAGGCCAATAAATCATAAGCGAAACCCACCCAAATCACAGGAGATGGTGGAAATGGTCCCTGCTGTTATGCACATATCCCTTGCAATTCCATAAAATGCTGATAAACACATGATTAAGTTCCTTTATGGAAAAAGAGCAAAATCTGAAACCCACAACTTTAAAGCTTAGTCTTCTGTTAAAGGTGTTTGAGGAATTTGTAATGAGAAATTCAGGCCTAGCACTGATTTCATCCAACTTCTCCTCAGTAAGAACTTGTTGTTTTTTTAAGACAGTAATGACCCTGTCTGTCTTAATTTATTCACAATTCTATGAACACTTGTTCTATGAGGAACTGTAATTTTATGAAATTTATGCCAGAATCTTTTCCTTACTTTCAATGTTATGCATGAACACTTGTTTCACTGTGCAACACTAATATGGCATTTAGACAAACGTAACATGGCTAACTAGATGTTCAGTGTGGTACCAGGGGCTTGGAATTATTGCTGACAGTCATGTAACACATAAACTCACTTCTTGGTGGATGTTCAAGGATACTGGAGAAAAACTGCAATGTGCACAGACTATGCCACGAGTCTGAATGCACATGGTGCAAGACAATGCAAATAATGTGTCTCTACTCTCAAGCCAAAGGATCTGTGACTGGCTCTCAATCTCCCTGTAGCAGAATGAAACATAAGCAAATAATTCCAGAACTCCGTGTACCTGTTTGTATCCTTCATATGGGCATACAGAAAGAGTCTTTGCAATCTGCCCTTCATTAGTCTCCACTGCATCCTCTTCCACCATTTTCAGTGCTGTTACGATACCAGACTCCTCACATGATATTTTTCCAGATTCAGAGTCCAAACCCATGATTATTAACTTGAATATTCCATATTACCCTCATGCTTATGTTACAGAAACCTGCAATAAAACATCCAAATAAATTTAGTAAGCACAGAGGAAGTAGTGAGTGCATGAACATGAAATAAAATATACTTACAGAACATAACTTTCAAAGGCATTTAAAAATGTATATACCTTAGGAACATGTGATTTGAAGACTTTAATTATGTGTAATATTTGGAGTGCATGATTTAGTGAGACTGTTATAGCTCCCGTGTTATAAACCCATGAAGACTAGTGCAGATAGACTGAAGAGGTAAAGAGTGGAGTGATTGTATATTGTGTAAAGCTGCAATAGTGTACTGAATAATTGTAGTTATGACCTGTAGATTATTAATAAATCCAACTGCTACTTGAAGTCACCAGCTTCTGCAAGCCGTTGATTTCAAACGATGTTGCCTCCCTTAACTGAGCTTGATTTGTTAACTTTAAAACTTGGGGTTCGATCAAGTAATTATTTCAGGCAATGGAATTTATTTCTCAGGCAGTTGCTAAAAATGATTTCTATGTTTGCAAGTTGAAGCTCGGCGCTTACGGTCCACCTGTACTTTTTCCAGAAGTCCAGAACAAATACTTGTGTACCTCACAATTTGATAAACACATCAGATTAGCTGAAGCATAAAACAAGTTTAGCCTGTCTCTTCCAACAGTGCCTGATAAAATTTCCAAATAAAAACTCTGGAAATACAATTACTACCCAAAGATATGTATTTCTCAAATGGATGAGATGCCCAGTAAAGAACAGAAAAGAACTTCTGAAACCTAATTTTCCACAATGACGATTTTTCACACTTCCCATGAAAAAAGAGCATTTCATGGGATTAACTTCTTTTTGTTTCCTGTGACATATAAGGTTTAACAGTCCGGATTCCGTTATAGGCTGAACCTAATTTTGACATAAGCCAATCGAAATGTCCTTTCCATGACAACATATGGTCAATAAATAATCCAGGAAATTTGGTATTAGTAGATTTCGCAAACTGGTTGTTACCATAGTCAATATGCATATCCAATGCATAGCTATTCTTAGAAAAAAAAAACTGTATAAAATATATTTTATCGAAGTTTAGTGTCAATAAACTTGCTTTAAACTAATTATTTATGTTTTTATATATTTTAATGTCTTCATAATATAGGGAGCTGAAATTCCTGATAATTATGCTGGTGTCATCTGGAAAAACAACAGATTTAGATTTACTAATTATGTTTGGCAAGTTTGACAAGTATATTTCCATATCACAAACACGCCATTCTATTTAATTGGTATCATTCTTTACCTCAAACGTACACATAATTGACAAAAAATGTACCTGTAAATCTGATTTTGTAGGACGCAACAAGCAGTACCTCACAAACGCTCATAACCGCTCATAACGCGGTGTTGAGCAGTGCTACCACGTAAAAATTAAATTCCTATATACGAGTAGCATTATCGTAATATACCTCGTGTAATTATTATTATACAATTCGTACATAGAATCTAGAACAGAAGAGTGAAGAGCTTAAGAGTGGCAAATCTGGGAAATTATGTAAATAATATAAAGTTTCAATCAAATAAAAGCCTTTTGAGCCTGTCTGCCCAACATATTTTGTTGTCCGGGGAACTTTTGAAACCTTAGTTCTGCATGCGGAGAACAATAATTTCAATATACAAAATGTGGACTGCGTGTAAATATACGTGTAATCAAATATATTGTGACATGACGCCTGAAATTGGGAATACTAGAGTCGTAAGACTGGCGTTGCTAGGCAATAGCTCCATAAACACGTTTCCGAATACACACACACAACAATTGAAGAACTGTTGATTGCGACGTTTTCTCTGCTGTCAGTTCCGATTCTACATGTCGAGGACCAGACTGGCTGACCGACTAGTGACAGCAGAATACCGGACATTCAGAACAGGTCAGCACGAGCAAGTCAGACTGTTGCAGCTACAACCATCGTGGGATCACCACATTAAACCACAATTACAGTTGCCGATTCGGACGCAATAATGCCACACACAGTGGATACACAGGGAGTGCAACCCAACAATTTGGATTTCGGGTATATAAAGGAGGCAGCAGACCAGCGCACCTATGCCATTTTACAAACATTGCAGCCAGTGGACACGGCGGGGGAATCAGAAATTATGTACATCTCAACATCTGAACAGTACTACTCCATGGATACCAATGCAGTTACGTATAGTCAGATGGAAAATGATGTAACGAAAGGGATCACTGCAGGCCAGTGCCTTGCTCAGGAGAGCGGGGCCTACTTTATCCAAGAAGACGTCGATTTAGATCCGATCCATGCGCTCACTGCAACACAAACAAATTGTCTACAGCCAGTAACAGCAGATACTGGCGAGGTGGCGTATATGGTTCCAAGCAATATAGGTACGTGCATTTCTTCTCTGAATGATGACGGACATCCTGATCTCTCACTTATCAACCCCGTTGGATGGTTGTTGAGGAACTTTGAATTAGCTGAGAGCATGAGCGTTCCTCGTTCTACATTGTACACATTTTACCTCCATCATTGCAACGAGAACAATTTAAAACCTCTTACTGCATCATCATTGGGGAAAGTCATCAGTAAGATTTTTTTTGGTTTGAGAACCAGAAGACTTGGTAAAAGGGGTAATAGCAAATATCATTATTTTGGGATCCGTGTAATTCCTGGATCAGCAGTGAGTCAACTAACAGAAGTTGATAACCTAGCCGTTTGCCATAAACCTTCACAGGAACACTGTAAATTCCTGTCATGCTCAGGTGACAGTGAGAGTGGCACTTTGAAAATAACAGACAAGCATGAGAAAAATACAGACAATTTAGTTGGCTGTCATCTCTCCAATTCATTACCACAGGATCCTCATCAACACCTGAGCCTAGGCAACGTACCAGGAGTAATATCTGACTTTCCAAATATAGAATATCCTCGAGGATTTTACCCACCAGAGAATTGCACATTGGAAGATCTGAAAACATTTCGTCGTATCTACCAAGAACACTGCATGGTCGTCCACGATGCAGTTGTGAACTTCAGATTCCAGACAGTTGAGAGTTTGTGGATAGAATTCTGGGGAAGTCAGGATAACAACAATGGCGACGAATATGACGAGAGCAGATATTTGTCCAAAACGAAGTTGTATCTCTTATGCCAGTGTAAGCCAGTTCAACAGTTTGTTCAGCGTGTGGATTGCCTGTTCCATCAGATTCTAGTCAACGTCCTCATTCCTGATGTTCTTATCCCAATTCCAAGTTCAGAAATACAGGAAATTCGAAACTTTGCTAATGGACTGGTATCGTATCTGAAAAGAGTCATGGCAAATTGTCCTAATGAAATTATGCACATCAAAATCTCCGCTGCGAGTACCTTGGCACAGACGTTACGACGCTACAGTTCACTAAATCAGCTGGCTCAAGCTGCACGTACTGTCCTTCAGAATTCTCCACTAAAACTCCAGATGCTGGTTGACCTAAATAAAGTTGACTTTCTCAGTATACAAGACCAGGCATCATGGGTATATCAGTGTGATGTTAGTATGGTGCAACAACTGGAGGTTGCCTTCAAAAATATACTACATGAGCAGACTTCGTTAGAGCAGTGGGCAGCTTGGTTGAAGAATGTCGTTTCACAGGTGCTGAAACAGTATGAAGGGAAACCCGACTTTGCCAAGGCTGCAAGGCAATTCTTACTCAAATGGTCATTTTACAGTTCATTGGTCATCAGAGAAATGGCCCTTAGAAATGTAGCAAGCTTCGGCTGCTTTCACGCGATCCGTCTACTGTATGATGAATACATGTTCTTCGTTATTGAGCACAAAGTGGCTCAGGCGACAGGCGAGACCCCTATTGCAGTCATGGGATGGAAGTACAACAACAATCCGAACAATGTGGGTGATTTCATCCAACTGGGACCCCGTAATGCTGGAAGGAAGATGGCTTCCAGAACCTTAGCTGTTGGAACTGATGAAGCTAGCCACCATGCAGTCGCCACAAAGCGTTTGAAGATCGGCTAACAACTTAGTTAATTCTAGTGAAGAGAACATGTAAATATTCTGTCATACCTCAATTTTAATTTTGCTATCATATGTGTAAATCAGTGACAGTGTTATAATTGTTTGTAGTTATTAGCCATAAACATTCAATAATTCTAATTATTAATTTTATAATCACTAACACGTGACAATATATATATATATATAAATGTACATGCTATATATTTTTATTTGCCTATGTTTCCATGCATTATGGACAATAAAACACATTTATAATAATATTAACGTTTTATTAATATGCAATTCTCTTTCGAGTCTAGCGTGCCTTTATTTTCAACACATATTTACAAAATAAATTAGTAATGTAATGTATATCCCCCATAAATAAAAACTCCCGACGTTCTTTGCCTACTTACTTTACTTTGAAAAAAAAAAGATTATGAAATTACCTTGCTTCTTCCTAGAATTTCTTGTTAAAATAATATACACATTTCCGTAAGATAATGCCCAAGGGAACATATGTCAACTCCTTTCAACAAATCGTCTTGTCAGCTTCGTTTTGTTCAAGAAAATTATGAGCATGTTTTTTTTAATAGGAAAATAGTCCATCTGAACAATGTTACGGAATTCAACGAGATGCTTGACACGTTTGTTCAGCTAGCTTATTAGTGACAGGATTGTATTTGTAACAGTCACTACGATAAAGTATTAATTAATGATTATCTGTACATTGACTTCAGTATTTTGATTCCCGATTCGCTTAAGTAAAACCTGCACATCCTCTCACCTTTAATGACACGAATCCAATGCGATACTTGGCACTGCATTTCTATGAGTAGCTAATTATATTTGAGAGCGTATTTAAATAAAAGCAACTTCGATGCATTACTTTAATTGTTTTCCAGTTAATGATGAGCTTTACTTCAGCATTAATATTGTAACGTGTCGGGAATCCAGAAGAGTCACTTCTATGGAAACGCTAGAATAGACCGTTGCATAGGAAACAACAATCGCTCTATTGTAGTTCTAACTGGAGTCTCCACGGTTATAACAGAGGGTTCGTTGCATAGCAGCGGCCGAGGTTATAAAAGGGGGTTGAATGCATTCGCACAGTTAGTCTTTATCCAACCGTCGAAGAAGTGAGTCTCGGATTAGTCGCCAAAAGAAGTTAGTCTGCTATAAACCGCCAGAGAAGACAGTCCAGTACCGCCGAGATATTGTAAGCAGTAATTGTAACACTGCAAGAGCAAATGATTGCAAGGTGTGTAGGGTGAGCGAGTGGAATAAATTCGCTATATCAAATACCACGGCGTAAACTTATTTGTAGCGTGACACACACAACACGCTACAATATCTTTATTGTCCACAACTCTGATCTGTTTATGTAGAACCGAAACAGGCATCCATCTTAACACTCCTTTGAAAATAGTACACTGTGCAGACGGCACTAAATTCATGAGGGAGGCGAGATACACGTCATCATAAATGCAGAGCCCCCACCTTACTCCGAAAGCCATACAAATATAGGTATATATGTCTTTAATAAATACTTTTAAAAATAACATTTCCTATCATTTATTAAAATAAATGCAAAATTATATAACAGAAATGATTTCCAGTCTTTTACACTTCACGTATGATTTGCATTCATTTGACCAATTATGACATGTCAAACCGTTATTGGGCAACGGGATGTGGAACGAGTTATCACGAAGGCACTCTTGATAAATGGTCGCTTGCCAAGTTACGCAACAGTGGACACCAGGTTACACAACAGTAAGGAAACCGGTGTTTCTCCGTGCCATACCGTCCTGAGGTGAGCCGAACCGCGCTGGTTACTACGCAACTCTCGGCAGCGTTGCCAAGCAACGCCTCTGTAAACACGTCGTCACGCAACAGCGAACCAACCTCCTGTCAATTCATCTCTCTTCGGTCCAAATATTCTCCTCAACACCCTGTTCTCAAACACCCTCAGTCTATGTTCCTCCCTTAATGTCAGAGACCAAGTTTCACACCCATACAGAACCACAGGTAAAATTATAGTTTTGTACATTCTAATTTGTATGTTTTTGGACAGCAGACGAGAAGACAAAAGGTTCTGGAGTGAACTGTAGCAAGTATTACTCGAGTTCAATCTCCTCTTAATTTCCTCCTGAATCAGGTTTCGATTTTCTATTGTTGTTCCCAAATATTTGAATTGTGGCACATTTTCAAAACATCTGTTTCCTATCTTTGTATCACGATTTTGCCCGGCATTTTGGTGATGAGACAGCAACAAATACTTAGTTTTCTCAATGTTTACTTCTAGACCAACCTCTTTACTTGCATCAATTACAGTTTGTGTTTTCTTCTTTATGGTATCTACATTATCACCCAGTAGATTCACATAATCGGCATAGGCCAACAGCTGATCGTGTCCTGTTAAATTTCAGTCCAACCTGGTTTCCCTGGACCTTCCTAATGGCATATTCTAAAGCAAAGTTGAAAAGGAGTAGTGACAAAGCATCTCCTTGTTTTAGATCATTCTGGATAGGAAATTTATCAGACAAATGTTTCAGCTACAAATATTCGTCAAAATAGTATAAAATATATACCATAAGTTAATAAAGTTTAAAATGTCAAAATTATAACAATACATCCATGATATGTATACAGTGGCCGTCTTGTAGTGCACTCAATTTCACCTGTTACTTCACGATGTGTTTCGGCAACATAGTGCCATCATCAGGTGCCCTAATTACGCTAATCTATTGCATTGCTTGCTATTATATGTCTTTATAAAATTATTTAAAAAGTGCATATTCGTCAACTATAATAAATTTACACACACTAAAACTTAAGATTATTCATCTTATGTGTCTTAATTAAAACTTGCATGTCGTTCTTCCACTACTGGGGTCGTTTTTCTTATATTCTGTGTAAACCGTGTCTTGTGATGTGTGTTCCCTTTTTAGCTGCGAGTGTTGTAATGTTGGATCTGTGTGTGTCTTCATATTGATATATAAAAGCATCAATCACCAAATATGACAAAATACAGCTGTTAACAGATGTGCCTCCCTTACAGGATAGTGAGCTGCAGTAACAAATCAAACCCAAATTTTAAATATCATCAGGTTTTGCAAAAATGCAGCACTTTATTGATCAGCTGAATAATTCTGAACAGCTCATACATACGTGGTGCCACAAATCTGTTAATGAATTTCAGGTTCTTCTGAATTTCACAACGCTGGACACATAGTCCAGTATTGCATTAAGCATCATCTGTGTTTGAATAAATGCTGATATGCAAAGATTGTCTACAGACAATAAAAGTAGAAGTTGAACTTACCAGTGACTATAATCAAAGGATGGAACTTCTTACTGTTTACATAAACAGTACAAACGTTTAAACTTTAAAACAATGAAGAAAAAACGTTAACTACGAATACCTATAACAACATATATCATATTACGTATACTATATAAAAGATTCCAGAAACAATATGATGAAATTGTGAGCTCTAAGTGGATCTTCAAGAAAGCTCAATCATGTTAGTAAACTAAGTTTCTAAATCACCAAAGGGCAAACATATATTTCCAGCAACCCATGAATTTGGAAATAAATGTTGAGACAAAGGCTCCTTGAGTGGGAAAAGTGAAGACACTTTGGTAAAACACATCACAGTAGATTTCACTTAGAAGCATTCATAAACCCCCTGAAATTAGAGGGTGTGAAGCACATTTTCAACAAATCCACTGTATGCTGTTACACTGTCATCAACTTCAACATTTGGACATAGTTGATATCTTTATTTCTGGATCTCCAAAGTCACAACACAGTTTACCAACTTATATCCCTATTCCATTTTAAAGTATGCTTTCAGGTATACTCAACTGAAGACTGTTCTTGAACTGTGTCACCCCTAATTGATGCCTTATCCAGCAGCTCCAGCAGTTATCTGAACAGAACAGCATCTCCTCAGCTAATCTACAAGGGGACTCTCAATGCTAGGGGTCAAGGAAACATGAACTCCCAGCCAGGGATACTGGGTTTTGGACTGAACATTGGATTTACTGACCATTTATAACACCACTTGGAACTACAAGTAATTATAGTGCCATTACTAATCTTTACACTTTACAAATCACCACAGCTAAGTCTTTTCCAGCCTGCTGTGTCTTCACCAGCCATTCTCTGGTAACGGCTTTTAACAGTGGAGATTCTTCAGCTTTCACACTTGAGTCCTCTCTGAAAGGTGGCTCCCTTCCACTGACTCTTTTCTTCACAGACTCCCATACAGAACTGACTTTGTTGCCACAGTTGTCTTCCTTATAACTCCTTGGCACAGCCCGCACAGACAACACCGTTCATTCTCATATGTGTATCCCTTGCTGCGGAAACGTGTTTGCCGAGTCATTCCCCAGCAGATGCCATATGTTCTTGCTTATTAAGAATCTGCTGCCTAGCAACGGACATCATTCCATTGTCTATTTCATGGGTGTTGCCTAGAAACAAATGTTGTTTCGGAGCCGTACACTAGCAACGGCTGTTTCTCTGGCTCCACAGTTCTTGCTTTGAGCAAATATGACACACAAACACACACACATACACAGTGTTAAAAAAAATGGTTACAGGCTTTAAGGGGTTATAGTACTCACTTAAATAAGCAAAAAGTCTCAGTCAACATAAGTCCAGAAATGAATGCCCACTGAAATATGGGCAATGTTCATATGATCTCTACAGCAGATGCTCTGTGTTGTTCCCACACATTTCAACGCAATTTCTGGCTCTTTGTAGCAGAGGTAGGCACTTTTTCAAAAATTTCTGGTTTCATTTGAATCTCCTGACAGGCATTCTCTACTTGCTGCTGCAATACCTCTATATCACTGATTGGCACTGAATATGCCAATGTCTTAGTGTCCCACAGCAAAAGATCCAGAGGATTAAGGACACAATAACATGCAGGCCAGGTGACCGGGATTCTACATCCTACCCACTGTCCACTGAGAGTTTGATTATGGTGCTGTCCGACAATGTCAAGAAATGAGGCGGTGCCCCGTCATGCAAGAACCATAACTGTTGTCATTAATGAAGAGGCACTGGTAAATCATTCAGCAAAACACAATGGTACACTGCACCTGTTAGTCTGTTTAAGACAACTGGTCCTAGGAGTTGACCATCTAAGATGCCCACCCTAGTATCCAGTTACATGCTAAACTTCCACATATCTCAGCTAGGCATATTTAGACAGATTTCAGCAAGAACATGGCATTCATGAAACTGCTGTGGATGTGGAATGCAAATGTAGTTGCAGGTAACCCCTTCTACTTTCAGAAGTTCATGCTAGAAGAAAATCTAAAACTGGAACAAACTTGCAGTGCCAAAGATGTGTGTTGTACTGGAAAGGTCTTCCTACAAGAACTGATGGCATAAGCCATCTGAAAGAAGACCCTAGGAACATGGACATGCCTTCTACAAATGCACCAGGAAACCACAAACTGAAATGGTAAAGCCAAAGCAACTCATTCTTTAAAAGCACTAAAGCAATGATCCTGTCCATTATCACAACCAGAATGGAGCACGGATGAACAGAGACACTTTTGAAATTTTACACTATACTCGTACAACCTGAACCACTGATACCATTGTTAAATTAAACCCCAAAAAATAAATAAATTCCAGAAGACAGTAATCTTCACAAAATATCTTGAGCTTTCATGTTTTTCACTTATTCAAATACCACAGACCCTTCATTACCCCAAACTGTAGTTGTTTTGGAACTCAGTTCTCAGAAATGTTTCCATCATATCTTCCTTGAGACTTATGTTAAGATATAAGCTAATTTCTTAATACTTCAAAGACTGTATGGGGGCAATATTCCTTTAAGACACTGGTTCTAGTTTCTGAGTTCAGTAAGAAATAAGATAAAATTACTTTTTTTTTCTTCCTTTCTTGCGAAATAATGGGACCAAATTGGAATATAGGAGGAGGTTAGACCAGTCATAGCAGTTCTGGGATTTTCTTTCCAATAGAGAAACCTAATTATATTATAGTATATTTCTTCTGGTAAAAGTCCAGTATGAAGTAAGAAACTGGTATTCTACTCACATAGTATTCTGGTATGGCACAAGGGGAGACATGCCCCAGTTACCAAAACAATCCAAAAAAATCTGGAAATGAATGTATCTATAGACAACAAAACTACTTACTGATCAATAATTCCTTTCCTTTAATCACAACCTCAACATGATGTGGAAAAGAAAGGAATGTAACAGTAAGGGAAAAGAGAAAAAAAAGTAAAGAAGACAAAATCCACTCTGACCATCTCTCCCTAAGGGGCGGGAAAGATGCTGGAACTTGCCTCGTCATTGTTCCTGTCCCTCATTCTCATTTTGTCTTAATGTTCCTTCCACGAGTCGCAAAACAGGCCACACATAAACCACAGAATCCTCTGAGCTGTAACAGCATGTAGCACAGAGACAACCGAACATTTCAGAGGAACATATCGCCTCTATATTCATAGTCAAAGAGCAAGCCAAGCAAGAACTCCTGTCGCCTATTTCTAACAGTGTCTTGCTTTGCTTGCCCTTCAATCCTAAAGATGAAATGTCTGGCTATTGAACAATATGGCATTATAACCCAGAAACCAAGTTCTTCAGAGTCACCAATGTGAGAACCTGAATTCCAAAAGCCCATACATAGTACAGGTTACATGCAACCATTTTCTGCATTCTGAACACTAAATCCAACTGGTCCTTCATGTTTTCTTGAAATGGGTGTTTCCACTGTTCACAACTGATTCTTTCTCCTCAAAATATTAAACAGTACCTGTGCTTGCACATGCCATCAAGCTGTATGAAGAAAGTGGATATGAAGCTTCCAACCACATTCTTTATCTCGGGATGATACGGATGTGAGTGGATAGTTTCATGCTCGGGTACTTTACCCCCTTAGAAACTGCATTCAGTGGGAAGAGGTCAGTTGAGCGTAAGAACTGTTGGGATATGATAGTAAAACAAAATACTGCACTACCAACAGAAACTGAACCCCAATCACTGAACAAGGAGCAAACATCATATAAAATTAATTTTAATATTTCAAAATAAATGCCTCAAAATATTCAATAAAGAAACTGTATTTTGGTGATGTTTTACATCTGTCAAAATAACCAACACAATCTGTATGGAAAGGTGTCCCACAAGCACATATGTATGTTAGGGTGTTAATGTAAGTGCCATAAATGCTGACTTTTGCTGTTCATCCATTCTGTATTCAGCCACCCCAAATGATGCAGAACCTTGTTCACTGCAATCCTTCCACTTTCACATGAACTACTGCAATATAATGTATTTGCTTATGCCGCTGAATTCTGCATTTCTTCCCTTGCAGTATCACTATCTCTATGTACATCATCTAATGAAGCAGTCTTAATTTGTCCTTTTTCAACATCATTTCTTATTGCTCTGCTGTTCTCATTACCACTAATTACAACAATATCTGAGCTCCCATTGAGCAATGCTTTCTCTTCTTCACGTGATATGACAGCACCAGATAGTAAGACTGCCATGCTTTGTTTAGCCTTTCCAGCATCACGACGTCTCTTGCGTGGTTTAGAAGATTTGGAAGGCCGAGATCTCATTCCATCATGCAACTTCATGTGTTCTTTCAGCTTTTGCTATAAGGAGAAGGAGATATTAATGAAGATATGACCATTGCAACATTTCCAGTAACTATACAAAACCCCTTCATTATAATATAAAACTATCCTAAGTGATACACATAATACTATACAGTGGAGCTTCCCCTTTATGTTCCTTCATTTAAGGTTCTTCCACATTTAAATTTGAATTCCAATGATCCCAAGTCAATAATCTTAGTCTTAAATTACTTCCATTTAAGATTTTCCTCAGTTTAGAGTTCAAATCTATTCCTGCAATTTCACTGTATTTCATTGCATAATTCATGCATCACTATATGACTGTTTAGCCCTCTGCATGCCAAGAGCCAATGAGATCAGCTTGGCTGACATGTTTTAAAGCTGCCACATCCAAAGAAACTGACCTGTTGCTAAAAACACAGTACAGCATTTCTGCCAAAAGCTGGTATCAAGCGTGATATACCAATGTCCACAGGAAAGAACAGGATATCACAGTATCTGTACCTGTGGTCATCTGATTGTATCTGAGTAACTACTGTGGGTTTCTTTTTGCAAATGAATTTACTGTCAAGTGGTACTGGCATTTGTCGGAAGTAGTTTTATGGTGACACTCCAGTCACAGGGCTATGAAATACTATCTTAAAAATAGTTCAATTTTTCTTGTGCACAACACAGGCAAACATGAAGAACATCATTACTTTCTACAATCTATGGTTACATTTTTTTTACTACAAGTTTTAAAACTTTACAACAGATGGCACCAAGTCATGTAAAGTATGTTACAACTTTTCCTTTTTCTTTTCTTAATTTTTTGAGGTGGGGTGAGACTCAGTTCACTTGGTACATCAGCCACTAACTGGCCTATTGTACCAGCCCCAAGATGATACACGAGTATGGAGCAGTTGGTGGAATAAGAATTCGTAGGGGAAACGAGAGTACCCTAGTTCCACTATGTCCATCGGAAATCTCACATGACCTGACCTAGGTTGGAACCTGGGCTGCCACAGTGGAAATTCAGTTACCAATGCCTGAGCTATGGTATGGCCATGACAAAACTTGGTTCATCATGCTGAACCATGCACACTGACTTAGCAGCTATATCTTTCCATGTCAATCAGTGCCTCACTTCCTGAACACCCTGCTGTCTTCTTTTTCTCCTAGCCAAAGTCACAATTTCTCACTCCCTCACACTGCCTGTCAGCCTTGCCTGTACAGCTGCACTGAGTAGCTCTAATTCATTCACATCTGGATTTCTGACCACCAATACAAGTTGACAGGGGGCCAACTTACATGAATGTTGCCTTGAAAATCCTATTCTGCTTGTACATCCCAAATTTTGTTTTTTGACTGCAGTCACCTCCAGGGTATCTGTTGACCTACTTCTGCTGACTGACCAAAGCCCACACCTGTTGCACCTAAAGTATTTGTGTGTTTACTTATTAATACACTTTGCATTGCTTACTGGTCCTAGCCAATACTATTTACTAGCTGTATGTGCAGGGAAAAACTGTACCAGAACCAGGATTTATAGTTTTAACTGTAGCTGCTTACGTGTACATTATGGAACTCATCTGTTGTTATTTGGTATTACATTTCCTTTCAACACATACTCTCTGGGTTCCAGTACCTTCCTGTTTACTGATCCATTTTTTATTGTTCCCTTCACCAGGATGACTGAAGCAGCAGTCACAGATGGAAAGGAAGTGGACAGGAATAGGTGATGGTTCATCATCGTCGTCGTCGTCGTCGTCCCCCCTTCTCTCTCTCCTTCCCACTTCAACACTGTAGTGTTTTACTGAGTGCTGTTCTATGTTGTAACATGCACAGGATGATCATTATCCTTCACTCTACATTAATTTTGAAGAAATTCAAGGAAAAGCCTCACTGTAATTTCACACTTTGAATTAAATGCAATGATAACCCAGCCTCATACTGATAAATCATAGTAAACCTAGTCTTGAGGCAATATGCTTCTGGACAATAACAGTTAACTACACTATCTGTAAAATTAACATAATGTGAGATTTAGTAAATACTCATTTTAAGCTGAATGCAACAATGTATTCTAAGTACCAATGAAAAGTTACTCTGTTCATGCAAATTCCACTTACCAGTGTACAAAGCTTCCAGTCACAGTCTGGGTAGGTGCACTCGTATTTCTTTCCTTCATGGCTGGACTTTATGTGATGAGTGAGATTCCGTTTTTGGTAGTAGAATCTAGTCAACATAAAAAATGCAGCTTCTACCACATAATAGCTTCTATACAATAAAACCACTCTATGCTGCAATTTTAAAGGAGCTAAATACATTTTCCATTTCAGAGAGGATTCTGCTGACCAGGATCAAACCTTCTAAATAAGAATATTGCATTGCACATACTGCATGTATTTATGATTCAAATCACAAGTCAAAAGTTCAAACTAAGCTGCCTTTATAAACAAAGTATGTCATACTTCTGAACAGTCATCTCTCTGTAATGAGTAGTGCTACAAATATGAAATAATCAGCACTGTTCTAGTACATAACATGTTTTTCATTCACAAGTCTAGTTCTCATCTCCGCTGTGCACAGCACTGACAACACAGCTTGGCAGTAAAATGGCAGACTTTCAATTGCCTAGCCCCCTCTTTACCTTATGTAGTTACTCTGAGACACAACTGCTAGTTGCCCAAAACATTCAGAACACTGATGGGAACAATTTGCATCCATAGTCTCAGTTGGGCCTTTCAAAGAGCCTCAAACATAATGCTACAGGAATACCCCTTGAGACTGAGGCCGTTCAACTACCCACTGGCTCTAATCATCCACAGCCAAATATATTAAGTTCCACCGCTAGTCTCAGCCTGACCTGAAACAGATGTTCCAGCCAAACCCTCAGGTTCCCTTAGAAGAGAGCTTGTCATCCTAGCATGCTTCTTATGCCAGTTGAGTCATTTCTTATGTCTGATGAGCAGGTTCCTCACCCCCCTTAGGAGACCTCCTTCAGTCTCATCCTCAATGGACTTTCACCAAAGCCCCTGAAAGATTTTGGTTGCTTCTTCATAGCAGTAGTTCAAGGTTGACCTGGACTTTATTTTTTCTTCATGACAAGAATATATAAGCCAGAATCCCCAAACTATCACCCTTTTTCATGATCTTTATTTACATTAACACACTTTTTTCATTGTCCTTGCAGGATACTGATGTCATGACATAAAAGCTTTCATCTTGATTGCAAAGTCAGTTCAGGACACTGCATTTGAGTTCATAATAAGTTTGTGGTGTCACCTGGGCCCACAACCAAGTTCCAGGTGAGACATCAGGTTCTTTGAAGAGTGGCTCTCTCTTCCTGACCCACTTCTTGCTAGCATATCCAGTTCTTCTTGAGAGTCTGATTACTCACCCCATACGAAGACTTCCTTCAGTATTACCCCATGCATCCCTCACCAGAGTACTTGAGAAATGTGGCTGCCTCTCAGAGCAGAAGAAGACCCCACATTGAGGTTTCCAGTGCAGGGAGATAATTCTTCTCTCAGAATACTAAAAACAGGATATCTTCAGCTGACTTGTCATCTATCGACAGGAACAGCAAAACACAAATTACTGGTCCTGGCTGGGCCAACCTCCATGTCCCAGCTGAACCATCAGCATTCTTGAAGACAGCACTCCTTCTCTTGCCTTGTTTCTTCTGGCAGTGTGTCCAGTTCAGGTACTTGATGGTCAGGGTATTCCTCCCCATCAAGAGACCTCTTTCAGCTACACCCTCAATGGAATCCAGAGTCCATGTGAGATTTTGGTTGCTTCTCCAAGACAGCAGAAGACCCAGCAACTGAACCCTCTGATGTAGGGGTAGAGAGCAGTCCCCCTTCAGACTACTTATGCCAGGATGCCTTGCGCTGTCCTCTGCAGTTATGAACAGGAATGGCAAGAGCTCACACCATTGGTCCCCTCAGTTCCTGATTTAACCACAGTATGTTTCCTGTCAGTCTTCCACAAGGATCAAGTCAACTAGCCACCTTCTCACAGACCACTGATGAACTGTGAGCAAGGATTGGTGCAGATTTGCCAGGCAGACTTCCTCACTTGTATTGGAAGAACCGTTACAGATGGCACATTGTCTGCATTATAGGAGGACATCATATTGAACAACTGTGAAGTTGGAAAATGCACTGCAAGAAAATTCTGTTCCTGACTAGTAAAATGCTTATGTTTCATTTATATAGCTCTAATCATTTCAGAGATACCAATCTTCAGAAGTGTCAGCTAATTTAGAAAAACCCACAATGCACTGCCCAGAATCCTTCACCATTCTGTGTCCTATCTAAATATTTGGCTACATTACAAAAAAAAACATGCAATTTCTCCTGTTATAAGTGTTCGTCACTATATGGCTCTAATGTGCACTCACCGTGGACAGTTGTTATAGGGACAAGGCATTATCTCTCTGTCAGAGGAGTCTTGATGGGCTGACATGTGTGTCCGCAGCCTACATTTTCTTTTGAAACTTTTCTTGCATATATCACAAATGAAAACTGCAAAAAAAAATGAAACAAGACAAACTGTTCATATATGTTGCAAACTTTTTAGTTCTGCAAAAGGGGAGTTAACACAGGAAATCCTTATATATAATACCACAAAAGGGCAAAAACTGGGCAAAAGAAAATTCAAACATATAAGACAAGTCACCAATTTGTAAGTAATTTCTTACTTCCTTGTAGTAGCTTCAAAATATTCCAGGATAAATGTGAATACAGTGACAATGTGGCACAAAGGATGGAGAAGGCTCATGCATATGTCACACAAGAATTCCCTCTACATACAGTCAGTAAAAGTAATTGGGTACAATTATAACAGTGGCTATGCTGGGCCCCAAAGGAAAGTACTCTTTGTGAGAAGTTCTTCTTGCCTTTAGTAGAAGGCTAATATGAAATCTTCCCAGAAATTGAGGAAACCCATGACAGATATAGTTGTAAGCAGTGCACAAACACAGGAAGAACTGTGTCCATGTTGAAGTTTACAAACTTAAATGAGTTTAATGGATGTCTAGTGCCTCCAGATTCAAGACACAGCATTTACTCTGGACCTTCATAAAGCTATCAAATGTATGTGTAACAGTGAGCTGTTATCCTGAATTGTCCAGCACTTTGTCACATGTATATGTAACTACAGACTGTGTTTGGACTGGTAATTAGATTTACTGAACACTTGGAGATCATAATTATGAGTAACTATAGTGCCATCACTAATTCACACAATCTACAGTTCACCACAGCATGTGCTAAGTCTTCTGTCTGCTGTGTCCTCACTGGTTGTCTGATAATGGCTTTCATTGCCATAGCTTCCTCATGTACTGTGTTCACATCCTTACTGGCTAACAACTGTCTGACAACTTACAACAATGGGTGCTCTGCCTCCCACACCTCCACCAGGGGCCACCGTCTCACAATAACCACAGACTTGAGTTGGTCTGTCAACCAGCAGACTCTTTCTAGACTCTCAACTCAGACAGACTGGCTCATATTTCAATTCTCCAGATACAGCCTCTGCACAGACCCAACCGAAAACACCATTCCTCTGTTGATATGGGTGACATTGTTATCATGTGTCCCATTGTAGTAGCACTGTCCACCTGGTGCTGGACCACGAGACGCCACTTCCCGCAGCTCTCCTATTGTTGCACAATGCCACTGTTGCTGCAGTGACAATATGTTTACCGAGCTATTGTCTTGTTATGGCCTTCTCTGCTGATTAAACTATTCCAGCTTCAGTGGATATGCCACAATATTATGGAACTAGAAGATCCATTACTATCCCTAAAGAAGGCTGCAATTGGGCTGTATACTGAGAAAATTCAATTCAGTTTCCTCAACTCCATTTCTACCTAGACTTTGTTTTCCCATGTGGCCTATGTCCAAAATGTTTCTTGAGTAAAATAATTGTGTGAATATTTCCTTTCTTTCATTTCCATGATTTTGATCTTGGTGTGGACAGGGGCATTTTAAGTGAAGTACTAAACTTTCTGATCTGAAAACCATAGGCCCAGAGCAGATATATACCAAAATTCAATTCCAATATGATGAAATTTAGTAACACACATTTAAAGAACATAAGTTACAGACATCTGAGATTTGATGTCATGTATTATGGTATACGGGTACCAGTGTTTCAGAAGAACTTGCTACTTACATCTCAATTCTTCTACCCTGAAGATGGATGCAGTACATTTCTTCAAAACACTGGTATCTATGTTCCAAACTATATTATATCACAGAAGACTTATTATCATAATATCTGTTAAGATCTCAGATCATATGAAAAAACCTGTTCCAAATTCAACCCTACATTAAGAAAATACATGATTCTGATGGTTAAATGACAACTGTTTAAAACACAAAAATGCATAAGCTTAAACATCTGTATGGCTGTGGAAAATAAATCACAATAGACTGGTGCTAATGACTTGCGGGCTAGGAAGTCAGACATCAAGAGTGAAACAGAGAGAGACAGAGGATAAAGGCTAATAAAGGAAATGACATTCAAACCCATCTTACCTGCAGGATGGCTAAGCACAGTGTGTGTTTGTAACTGGGTCCAATTTTTGAACTCCTGGCCACAGTCACATACATATGTTCTGTGACCTCTCTGATGACGCTTAAGATCATAGTGTGTAGTGAAACCTACATCACATGTTGGACACCTACAAAATTTATATTCATATCAATCACAGTTAATGTGCACTAATTAAATATTATTATTCAAAGTATTACTTCAAATGTCTTGAATATAATGATATGAAGTCGATAACATTTTGAATGCAAATATTTAAGTCTTTTACATTATTTCACTCAACAGCTATGTCAAGCTTTACAAGCTAAAATCTTAGTCCCAAGCAAGATCCAATAAGCGAGTACAACGGAGCCCCCATCCAACATTCTACAATTTCAGTTGTTCTATCAGCTTGAAATTAACTTTCAATAAATCCATACCAACAAATGTGTTAAGGCCCATCCACATTACTCATGCTCGTGCTCACCAGACTTGTGCTCGTCGGGAGACTCATCTGGCTTTTACTTGTGCTCGTAAATCGCTCGTCATCGTCCATGACTTGGGCGGCTTGTCGTGAACCCCTTTGATGTACGAACAACAAGCGGAGCCTCACGAGCGAGTGGCTCGTGCGGCACGTATTGCTTGTCTCATAACTTGTCATACTGTCCACATTACTCGCGAGCATAGCGAGTCACATAAGCATGAGCACGAGTAATGTGGACACACCTTTATACAGTGAAATCTTCATACTGCATATTCAGATCTACTGTGGGTATGATCATGTTCCCCAAGACATTTACATTCTGTTTCATAGTACTGATCTGAAATGTGTTTGAAGTTATTTATAAGACTGTATTGCAATGTTCTATGCTGTACTCTGCAAGTATGGAGGCCAATATCCATAGTCCAGCATGAGTGGGTATAATATCCTGAAGGAACCTCAAATGCTTTTGTTTTCAGTTATTTTACTTGAGGGTCACACTGAGCACAGAAGCAGTCAAAACAGCACTCCTTTCAAGTAAAGAAGCATGACTGCATGGAGCTGATGTTCATGGATCACATTAATCCTTCTCGCCGCAAAACCTCCAGCAAGTTCGAAACCTTGCGAAGGGCGCAGACACTGCTTTAAAAAGGGAAGTTGCTTAGGCATGTAGTTTATATTGTACAAACAGCTGATTGCTCATTATAACAGTGACAGGGCTACCACACTAAACACCAGAGATAAAATTGTACAGCTGAAAAAAAGTTGAAGACTATCAAAAGACTTAAAAGCACCGAATCAAATACCACTGTTTATTCCATGAGTGTGGGGATTAGAGAAGGTGGCTGAAAAGAGAAACATTACATTCAAAGAGTTCTACCTTCTTGGATACAAAGCTGTGTGGTCTGGTGAAAGTCAGTGTTTTGGAAGAACATATCACCTCTGTCTCAAGGTCAGAGGGTGAACCAAGCAAAAAACCAGCATAAAGCAGGAAGCTGACCTCAGCTTGCTTATTGTTTCTTATAGTTTCTTGCTGGGCATTACCCAAATTCAGTCCCCTCTTAAATTCCTCCTCAATCAAATTTTTATTTGTTACTGTCATTCCCAGGTATCTGAACTGTGCCACATTTACAAACGATTAGTAACTACCTTTATGTTATGATTTTGTACTGCATTCTGCTGATGAGATATAAACACACATGTACTTTTCTCTGTGTTTAATTCTAGATCAATTACCTTACTAGCATCAGTTAGAGCTGTGTTTTTTATAGTATCTATGTTATCTCCGAATATAGTTTCAATGATACTTACTTAAACGGTGGAACACCAGTGTGCTGATAGAGATGTGCCCGTAACTGATGATGTTTTGAAAACCCATTGTCACAGTACCGGCAAATAAATGGATGTTTCTGTTTATGTTTACGCTTGTAATGTCGTTTTAAATTACACTCATTACTCAATTCCATTAAGCACCCTGGATGAGGACATCTGGAAGATTATGGAACACAGTGTATCCACACAGTGCAAATATTGATTTTGAAACAGTTCTGGTAGGTTTTCAATTTACTAGTGATTAAGGGACATGATAAAAGACTAGAATAGTGTGAATGTGCAAGGATGATGAAATAAGAAATCCATTTCTAACACAATATTATAATGTAGCAAGACACGCAGCACAAAACACAACAAGAGAGAACACATCCCAATAACTGAAGTACACAAATATGTTATCACACAGTATTTAAAAAAGTTTGCATACATGAATTGTAATCGAATATTTACACGCGTTACAGACACATATTTGCACATCAAAAGAGCCTACATATTTAACAACATAAGCAACAACAGAAGACAGCAATTTCCTCAACAAATACATTTTAACACCTGATGATGACAACATTGGTCAAAATATGTAGTGATGCACTTTTGAACTTTCAAACTTTTAAAGTTAATAAATTTTATATAGTGTTGCATGAGACTGCAGCTACTTGACACTACGTTTCTAACCCTTCTAGGCACGTTTTAATACACTGGGCATTAGAGATGAATTCTGTATTTAAGCATCCTGTTGCAAGCCATATTAAAATGGCTACGTATAATACAGTCCATCAATAATGCTACAAATTGTTCCTTTTTCTTCCACGTATACTTTTAACACGACATGTTTCAGCCTTAGATGGCCATCTTCAGGTGTGATTTTAGCGCATATTAATGCAGTGTAGCAGTTTAAATATATTAAGACATCTGAAGATGACCACCTAAGGCTGAAACATGTGTTAAAGCATACATGGAAGAAAAAGGAACAATTTGTTGCATTATCAATGGACTGTTATACAGACATTTTACTACAGATGAAGTTCATATTTTCTGCCATTCATGTATTCAAATCCCTTATCTAAGCACCTTCATCATTTCTTGCAGACTAAAACCATGTAGTTATGATAAATATCAATGAACACATATATGGTACAATATGAAGTCCAACCAAAATTAGGATCCAAACATTTATGTCAATAGTAAAATAAAACAAATACATATAGAGTAAGAAATGTTTGTGTTACAGTGCTGGAAAAGAAATATCTGGAATGCATATACTTCTTACAATCTGTGCGATACTTACTTGTAAACCTCTTTGTACATCAGTGCTGAATTGTGCGACAATTTCACATGACGATGTAGATAGCTTAAATGGCTATATGCCTTCTCACAGCCAGCAAATTCACATTTGAAGGGACGCTGTATGGCAGAAGATAACAATTAGCATAATACCAAACAAGAGCAGTGTCAATGTTTTAAACTCATGATCATCCTCAAATAACCTCGAAACTGTGTAAGATTTGAGGCTTTCACGGTGGTGACTATGAAGAAAGCAGTCTTCTGGGATTTGGCATCGTGTATATGTGGTGTTAACCGATGTTTCGGAGGAATATATCGCTTTTACCGGTTCTCACGGTCTCTTTGCTTGCGGATTTCTTATTTTTTCTTCTACCCTGAAGATGGAGGCGATACGTTCCTCCGAAACGTCGGTTAACACCACATATACACGGTGCCAAATCCCAGAAGACTGCTTTCTTCAACCTCGAAACTGTTTGTAAAGAATAACAGTTTTTGGATGTCCACTCAGTTACTGCTTCTAGAGTTTCAATTGTGAATTCTAACTTTTCATCAAGTTACCAAAGTCTGTATTCTGTTTATTTGTAATTCATTAATGACACTGTCAGTAACTCAGACAATACTGTGTTGAGAAACTGGATTCAGTCATTCATTCATTCATTCACTTTATTTTTCTTTGAGTAATCGATAACAGTGATCATCACCTTGGATACAGAAGATGTCCACATACAATAAAATAAGATACAATAGTGGCCGTTCAAGCAGCCTTGTCAGTTGGTAATGCAGTAATACAAAGACATTACATCCTATTCAGTAATGCAACAATACATTAATATCATACATTATACATATACAATTGCAAAATAATATACAAATGTAAAGTAAGTGTGTAAGTCAATATAAAAATGTGACCCAAACAGCAACATAAATAAAATTTGATTCAATTTATCAGACCACTCGAAGTATTCCTTTATTGAGTAAAAAGATTCCTGTAAAAAAAATTCTTAGTAACCACTTTAAACTTATTAACATCATATAGCAATTTCCTTATATCCCGTGGCAAATAATTGAAAATCTTTATACCCATAAAGTAGGGACCTTTCTTGCACTTGGACAAGTTAACCGAAGGCAAATACAAGTTAATGCTTTGTCTTGTATTTATCGTATATATCTCACTGCTAATTACAAATTTAGATGCATTTTTTTCTACCATCAACAGCAGGGAGTACATGTATTGAGAATAAAAAGGTAAAATATTTAAATGTCTAAAAAGTCCCTGACAAGATATTTTGGGGCTCACGTTAAAAATAATGATAATAATACATTGGAAAGGCTGCACAAGGAGAAAGCCATGCCTCCATTTTAAATTACTACCCCAGCATATGCCTTGAGAGACTGATGGGAACCTACTCAAGATACAAACTGAACACCTTGCAAGTACGTGTAGACACACTACCACTTAAGCCATATTGCCTGATCCATTAGATGAAGGGGACACAAACAGGCATATAATCCAAACACAAAGAGTGAGTGGGAAGACACCTGCATTTAGCACAACTCAGCAAACAGAACTGTTTGTTGTTTACTACATACCATGTGGTGTGTGGTATATCCTTGTAGCCATGTGAATATGGCAATGTACAATACAAAAAAAAAAAAACATGATAGGGGCAGCATGAAAACTGAGACATTACATTAAAGAACAGGTCTGTGGATTTGATGATTGATGTTTTGCTTTGCTGAAAAATTATTAGTTGTACATTATTCAATAAAAATATGGAGAAGTAACTAAGTTTAGTAAATGCTTAACTTGGTTCATACTGGTCCATCACACTAGTAATTATATATAAGATTTTTAACAACTGCCCAGTGTGAGTGATAAGAGCTGTGCTTTTAATTTTTCATCCTTTACATGTTTCAGTCAAAAGGACCATCTTCAGAAGGATATTATCAACACATATGAAAACTACTATTACCATGTCATATATATAAATATTATATATTTTAACTAATGCTAAGATGCACATTGTTTTGTTGAAACATCTAAAATTATTACAATAAGTCTGTTTACAAAGTAGTGTACAATATTTGTTCTAGTCTAGAACCAATTTGGTTCATGTCATTACACTTCTTCCACAGCACAGTATCATTGTTGGATGATAAGAGCTCTTTGGTATCGTGGTCCAGTTATAGAGGCTACACAGCGTTCCACATTAAAAAACTGGAAAGTGTTCCATGCTAAGTTCAGCTCCCCTCCCCCACTTAATAAAAAAAATACTACAATAACCTAGTGAACTCTCCACATAAGCCCAATCCCAAACCAAAGTGATAACAGTCGGTTAACAACCAAATCCCCATAACAAATTGAGAGTTTTAGAATGTGCACAAACTGCTTAACCTTTTGAGTAGAAATCTCAAGATTCTGACTTCTAATGGAAATGACAAATTTCAGCCTAAACATATTATAAACAAAACTTACCAACATTACAGCAAATCATCAAAATGCTCTCTCTAGTTACGCATGCATTCCTGGCACCCGTGTAAGAAGTTTACACTCACTCAAGTTCTTCTTGGGAAATAAGTAAACATGAAACTCCTGTCCCCTGTGCAAGGCATCCCACGTGTTTCTGAGTAACACGTTCTCTTTATTGAGCACTGGGGGGGGGGCAGCTTTGACCTAGAGTGTCTTAGTTGTTTTAGTTGTTAAGAGCAGTTCTTCTAGAGGAACTGTAACATCCTGAAACTTATGTCTGACCTACCTTCTTCCATTTTTCCCATCAGGACAGTATACAAACACCCATTACTTCAAAACATATCTCACATGGCATTTAACCACAGAAAGGAAATTGAAAACATTATTAAATCCCTTAAGCCCAAAAATTCACATGGATATGATGAAATCTCTACCAAATTACTTAAAGCAAGCTCTGTTTACATCAGTTCACCCTTGAATCATCTATGTAATAAATCTTTATCATCAGGTACTTTTCCTCAACGCTTAAAATACGCTATAATGAAACCACTTTTTAAAAAAGGAGAGAGAAAATGCATCTCTAATTACAGACCAATATCCATATTGACTTCATTCTCAAAAGTCTTTGAAAAAGTTATGTATAATAGACTACTTGAACACTTAAATTCTAACAACATATTAGTCAAAGAGCAATTTGGATTTAGGAAAGACCTAACAACAGAAAAAGCAACCTATGAACTAACTAACGATATTTTAAGTGCTCTCAATGACAGATTAATTGTGGGAGGGATTTTCTGTGATCTAGCAAAAGCTTTCGATTGTGTTAATCATGATATCTTACTATCGAAATTAAATTTCTATGGAATAACTGGCAAAGCTAATGAATGGATCAAATCATACCTCAAAAACAGGTATCAAAGAGTTGAAATAAATAATAAAAACTCCAGTCATAATGCATTTTCAAACTGGGGAATTATAAAGCACGGTGTTCCACAAGGATCAATTTTAGGTCCCTTACTTTTTCTTCTCTACATAAATGATCTATCTAAAACCATCAACAATAAATCTAAACCAATTCTATATGCAGATGACACTAGTATAATATTTAAGAACTCTAAATTTGAAAACTTTAAAAATGACATAAATATTGTATTTGAAGCCTTAAACAGATGGTTCGAAGCCAATTTACTCTCATTAAATTTTGATAAAACCCATTACATATCATTCACAACTAAAAACAACCACCAAATTGATCTGGACATCAGTTATGCCAACAAATTAATCTGTAAAGTACTTGATACAAAATTCCTTGGAATACATGTAGACAGTACACTGTCTTGGAAAATACATATTGAACAAATTATACCTAAATTAAATGCAGCTTGCTATGCGATGAGATCAATTAAGCCTTTTATGTCACAGGAAACATTGAAGATGGTTTACCATGCCTACTTTCATTCTATTATGAACTATGGATTAATATTTTGGGGGAACTCTTCACATAGTGTAATAATTTTTAAAATACAAAAGAATATAATTAGAATCATTACAGGATGTAGAAGTAGAGATTCATGTAGAGAATTATTTAAGAAATTAAAAATTCTACCTCTTCAATCGCAATACATATTATCGCTTCTCTTATTTGTTGTTTACAACAAAGATAAATTCAAATTAAATTCTGATGTCTATAACATGAATACTAGACAAAAATATAACTTCCACCTACCCTCATCAACTTTATCAGTATATCAAAAAGGAGTCTAGTTTACTGGCATAAAAGTGTTCAACAATCTGCCACAAAGTATTAAAAACTTGGGCAATGATACTAAAAAGCTTAAATCAGAGTTAAAGAATTATCTACATGCTCATTCCTTCTACTCTTTAGATGAATACTTCAATGTAAATAGAGAATGATGTAAAATTAAGTTATATTACTTTTTAAGCTAAAATTGCCTGTACTTATGTACGTAACCTTTTGACTTGTTCTGTATCCAAAGGTACTAACCTGCTTAGGATTTATAGAATGTAAATAAATTCAATTCAATTCAAATAACATGATTATGTGATTTCTCACACAAATTAAGTATAGCAACAGGGCATGAATGGGACGACATAGCAACAACAACACTCTTCATTTGTATTTGGAAGAGACATCAGCTATCCTGACAGGCTTTTCATAAGTTTTCCCACTCCCTCCATCATATGTTGTGCAGCCAATCTGATGGAAGAAAAGTCCCCTGTTCAAGATCTCAGATGGTCCCCATCATATGTAAAAAATTGGTCTACTAATTTTCTAATGATGACATAACAATTCATGTCACTATCTGATAATGACATAGCTAGTCCACTTGAGAGCAGCAAGATCAGAACAAGTGGTCTCCTCTGATATATGCCTCAGTACCTTCAAACTTTTCTCTGCACCGGGGATGGCAATGCTTTTCACTGCCATAGTGTTACCACCAATAGAAAGTTGTCCTTGCTGCTCCACCACCACACTGACTGACTTAATGAGATATCTGCTTCTTGGGTAGGAAAAGGATGCACAGGAGAGCGATTAGGACAATAGGATAATTAAAAGAAAGAAGAAAAAAGAAAACAGCAGACAACTTACATAAAAATTTTCCAAAAGTGGTTACTCTCAAATTCATCTAAAGAGTAAAAGCATCAATGTGAAAACAATTCTCATGCCCAACAGCATACCTTTCCTGTATGAATACACATGTGCCTAGCCAATCTCCAAGGTCTGCTAAAAACCTTATCACAATCTTCATAGGTGCAGGCATGAGTCTTTGGAGTCCCACCATGATCTGAAACTTCCAGTATTTGAACTGTTGGTACACCAGCATCTGAACCTTTCAATACTTGCACTTCTGACACCCTGTCAATGTCTGAATCTTCCTTTAGTATCTTTGATAATTTTCTTGAGTCCAAGTCTTCACATGACGTTTCTCCAGAGTCTGTGTCCATACCCATGATTGACTAATAGGTCTATATATATATGTTGCATATAAGATGTTATTTCACTGTCAATGTAGTATTAATCTGTAATCAAACAAGTAACCAAATATAGCAGACAAGAATGTAATTCTGTGTGTGAAAAATCCTTTGTTGCTTCACCTGTGGGAGGTACTCAACATGAACTAACTCAACACTGTAATTTTCCTTGGCTGCTGCAAATAAAGATAATTATTTCTGTTATGCTCAGTACTTACAAGTAATTAAATAACCTAAAACTTCAGAAATATCTATTATGTGAATACCAACCACATGTACAGACTCGCATCCAAAATCTTTACGTATCTCTACATTAGACTGACTGAATTATATAAGTTACAATATGACCATTTTGGGTACAAGCACATTAAATGCACTGTGTTAAATGTAATAAGTGCAAACAAACCCTCTGTTCAGATACCTGTGCACATGAGCAGTATACTGTCAGACCTCATCTGTCACGTTCTAGTCAGAAAATAATTTACGATTCAACTAAAATGTCAATACCTTGTGCATAGGAGGAGATATCCAACTCCAATATTCCCTTTCAGTTAAATACCCTACATCCATATTTGTTGCACTTCACTAATGGGGCTTCTTACTTGCACTTAAAAGATATGGAGAGTGTATAGTTACACAATATAAACTTGCAGAGTAACATGAATGCAAAGAAAAATTACTTACCTGCTATCATTTACCCTACCAAGTAACATTACATACTTCCTGTAAGGCTGAAACACAATTTTAACTAACACATGTCACATTTTGTAGGAACAATAAACTCATTCTAATTAACAACCCTTTAAATTGAGCTCTAGGTATTGTACTTGAAAACAAAAGTTACTGCTCTTGTTTCTATATTAAATTAGCATCTCCATGAAGCAAAAGATATATAACGAGATGCAGAACACGGATTCTCATACAGTAATTTGGTTATAAATAACCGTGGGACGAATCAGATCCTAAATATTAAAAATTCCCCGCAAAATCTGATATTTCCATTTGTTAACAGCATTCCAGCACAACACGTACAACACGTTTCGTAAAGAGCTACAAAAATTAGAATCTCCACATAGCAAGCTGTTCTCCTGTGCAGTACATGATATTTATTTGTACCTTTACGCCACAGATTCTTCCTCTGCCAGAATTGTGTCAATATCGCTTCGTGTCAGGGAATGATACTTCCAACTCTTCTAATATCTTCCTAACCTTCCTTCTGACCGCTTCTGACCATCTACACCACACTGCTTATCCTGCCTTTTATCAAAACCTGATAAGCCTGATAAACATATGCTACCATCATACATGCGTACCATCTTTGTAAGAAAATACGTTTAGGCAGATGCACCAACATACTGAATTTTTCCCTAGACTGAACTGGGAAGGTTATGAACGTTAAGAATAACCTGCCGAGGCCTTTTTTTTTTGTTTGCTGTTTGTATATTTCAAAAATAATGGATACACAGCAATTGTCTGGTAGTGTAATAATCATTCGAGGAAAACTGGCAGTCAAGTAATGAAATGTGCGTGGTCAAAGAACATGCTGTATTACTTACTATCATACATTTCCATCCGTGCAACTATTTGTTATCACTGTTTATCCTGTAAAGTAACAGCTCATGTCTGATGTCACAAAAGTAATAAAATTGTATGTTGGGTATCTGCAGCATCTGCCGGACCTGCGGACACTGCAACACGAATACGACCTATGAGAGGAAGGCAACAGTGAAACAACCTTGTGAAAATTCACAATCCAATTACCGCGCGCGGTTTGTTGCTTCAGTGGGTTTTCAGCCTTAGAGGCTACCCAAAGTCGATAGAGGTCGATAGAGACCATAGAGACCATAGAGACCTTGGTAAGTGTTAAACGTAAAATAAGTAAGAATGATTCATTCAGTAATCTGTCAGGCAACAGTGTCACAGTCTCTGTCCTTAATCCGATCTCGAGCTTTCTCCTTCAACCAAAAATGTTGCAGAAATTAAAATCCGATTATTTAAAATCATCAGTGCTCATATATTTCGCCTTTAAAGAAATAATTGTATTTCTTCTGTTTTATGCAAGTAGGGAGTTTGTTATGCAAGTTATAGACTATGATATGTGGGTTACTGTTGTAAATGACAACAGCAATGATCAAAATAAACCACTGAAGGTCAGTTTAGATCTCAGACAAAGTGCCCATTAATCACCCATGCTGTGTAAACTATTACTGCCTAAGACTGGCAGAAGAGAACAATACAGTTTTATATTAGAAATACACTAATGAAAACTTTTCACTGACCAATTGTGCTTGCACCATCAGAAGATGAACTGGGGAGATGTGTTCATGAACTTAGGACTACAGCGCTGAGTTAAAGTATGGATATATCACAAGATAAAACTAAGGTTTTAGCATTTAAAGGTAAAGATCCCATTAGGGCAAAGGCTGTTTTTAAGAGAAAGCATTATAATAGAGCAAATTAAATATTTCAACTGTTTAGGATCCAGTTATTCTGGACAGAGAAACCAGAACTTGGAGTCCAGATTACATAATTTTGAAGTTCTTTGTGGCATAGTAAAGTGGACAGCATTAAGAAAAATTCAAGAAACGTTTTTAATGTTTTATAAAGTCCTTTCAGTACCTGTTCTGATATACGGTTCAGAGGACTGGACTTTTATTGCACAACAACAATAACAAAACTGGAGTAGAGGAAATGCACTTTTTAAGATAAGTAGCAAGGTACAAACTATTAGTCAACTTATTCTTCAACCCTGAGAATGGAAGCATTGTGTTGCCCTAATGTATCTGTACACTTCTGCCAGACTACACAACATAACATCCCAGAGACAAGTACTCTTCATAACATCTGATTGTCACTAAGAAATTTGAGGAATTTTTTGAATTGAAACATGACTGGAAATAGGATTAAAACAATAAGATTTTATAATTAATTACTGTGATGATAAGAGTGATATATTATATGTGGCCTATTGTAGATATATGTGCATGTTTTATATTTTGTACATAAATTATTGTTATTGTGAAATGGGTATACTGTCGGATTTACACTGTATGATCAATTTTTTTATAGTGTTACCTTGCATAGTGAGTGATACAATATATGTGGCCTATCACAGATGCATATGTGTTATACTTTGTGATATCCAGTTGGATTTATATTGTATGATTAAATATCTTATTATTATTTTGTTATCTAGTATAAACAATGACAGATCCTATGTCTACATATATAGATCTCTGGAAGACACATTAAATATGAATATGAATATGAATATGAATATGTTGAACCTAAATGACATATGTATAATGACAAGGGATCACAGGGGCACAGACAGGGAAATTTTGTCCTTTTTAAAATTTAAAATCTCAAAAAATTAGAAAAGTATCAAACAGTTTATTCTGTAAATGCAGATTTGAATGTTTCGCACTTTTCCATGACCATTTTTCCATATTTTACACAAAACATTTCACACATGTGTTGTTTTGGAATGGTGGCCATTTCACAATATTTTTTTTTTGTTGCTAGTGGGGTGGGACTAAGTCCCTTGTACTGCGGCCACTTCTGGCCTATTGTACCAGCTCCAGATGATAGGTGAGGGTGATTGTGGAGCAATTGGTGGAATGAAGATTGGCAGGGGAAACTGAAGTACTCGGAAAAAACCTGCCCCGGCGTCACTTTGTAAACCACAAATCCCACTTGACCAGACCCAGGATCGAACCTGGGCTGCCGTGGTGGGAAGCCAGCAACTAACCGCTGGAGCTATGGCGCTGCCATATTTCACAATGTAAGTAGCTGCTGTGAACATGTGTAAACATAGCGGTGACTTCCTCTGGCTGAATTCAGTCAGACACAGTTGTCAGCATCTGTGATATTGTCCCTTGGTATTTTATTGGTATATGGTATAATCAGGCACATAATTTTATTATCAGCCTCAAATATAAAGTCTTTTCTAAATTAATCTTTTTGAAAACTGGCATTGGAACTGCAGAATAAAATGTAACAAAGATCTATAGAGATGAAATAAATAAGTCAAGAAACATACTTTAGCCATAATTGATTGATCAAGCCACCTTGTATCGTGCTGTAAATTCATACCAGTAGGTACATTACATAGTAGAACTTAATGATGTGAATGAACATTTGATGCACTGAACATTTCTTTGTTACTCTATGCTGGTTTTAAGTTGATGGTTCTTAGATCTAAAAATAGCAGGCCTTTCCAGTTCTCTTTTGCAATGAACATAAAAGCACCGAAAGTACTTCATTCATACCCAACTTCTTATGTTGTCATATGAACTTGATATTACAATACAGTAATATTGAAATCATCAAAAATGTAAGAAATCCAAAATACTTCATGTGTTAATCACTTGATTATTGCAACAGTTTTCATATTTCTAAACCGTGTAAACTGAAGGAAACTCATTGATGGATTAACATCAGGTATGCAAATAAACAAACAAAGAAACAAGCAAAAAAATTAATAAATGGGTAAGAAATAAAATATAAATAAGTAACAATAAGTAAATTAATGAATAACTAAGTGGGTGCATGAATAAATAAATATACAAAATAAACAATGAANCAAATCCCAGAAGACTGCTTTCTTCAATGAAATACGTTGTATAAAATATATGAAGTTCATACATCGAAATTACTGTCATGTTTTCATCATAATTAGTTTTTGTGTTAGCCTTAGGATGCTCCCAAAAGTGTCTCCACCTTGTCATGGTCATGGGCTTGTGTGAATCTGTAACCTTGAGAGCTATGCCAGTAGTAGTTTAACTACCAGTAGGGTCACCCATGCCAGAAAGGTCAAAGTGTAGAGTCCAGAGAGATACCCTGGTCCTCCAGGTTGGGGGTTGGGCATGAGGCTAACAACCTCATCCTGTAGAAACAATTTTGTTCAGAAACCTAACAACTAGCCTCAGATAAGCAGAACATATGGGAAATGGACTAAGCGAAAGACAAGGAACAATGATATTGTGATGGCAACTCAGAATGTACGTACAGTGATGCAACCCAGAAAGGGGCAGGAAGTAGCCCAAGAAATGATACGACCTGAAGAAGATTAAGGTGAAAGGATGGATAGAGAAGATGAGGAATAGAGAGCAGTGCAGACTGGTTGTAGAGGAGGCCAAGGCTCACCCAGGGCTGCAGCGCCAAGTGGTAGGTAGGTAGGTAGGTTAGCCTTAGGATTGTGTGTGGATGAAAGACTGATGTATTTAGTAACACAAGATATTTTACTTTGTCTGTAGTAATTCCAATGCTCTGGCAGAAGGCATATGGATTCCCATCTCCTCTTTTTTGGGGGACGGTATCTGTTTTGTTGGCTCTGCTGGTCAGATGGTGGCACCAGAAAAGGAAGAGCACCAACAGTGTTCCTGAGAAATGGCGCTGTGTTGGAGAGCTGTCTGAATTGACTGTATTTCCTATAAAGTCATGTGCAGGAATAAGTTTAGAGGAAGCAGAATGTACTGAGTGTGGAATTCAGACAGTCAGTGACGGCCCATTGAAACTAAGAGACAGGTTTGTTCCCAAAATCCAAATGAATAATTATGTAAAGCTTTTCCTTTTAAAGGGTTATGCTGCCCTCTGCCTGCCCTCTGCATCTGTGAATCATTTGAAGAGAAGTGCTTATTTGGGTAATTTATGACGCTTTATTAACAACCAAGGTTATATAGTGCTGATAGAAGACTTATGAAAGAATATTTCACATATTGTGTTACCAGGAGCTGACATGAGATAGGTGACTGTACAGTGGCTGTTGCTAGGCATCAGCCCTCAAACAACAACAGAGGAATGGTGCTTTCAGCCCCATCAATATTTGTGGTGCATAGGAAATGTCCTAAAAGGACAAATACAGAATCTATGCCAAGCTGTTGCAGTTGTACCCTAGTAGAAGGAGAGAAAGCTCATCTAGTGTCATATCAAGGCTGCAGCCATGCGAACGGAGTAGAGCACAAAGAGCTCCCAAGGGATCCTCTGAGAGGAAGTTCTCCAAGTTCACCTCACCAGAGCAGTCCTAGGCAGCTGCACTGCAACATGACAACACCAGCAAAGCTTGGATTCTAGCTTCCACCCATTGCTCATGGTTCTCATCACACAAGTCAAAAGATGTGAAGTGGTTTTTTAAACAGTCCACAGTTGCATTGGCTTTCTTGTTTGGGTGATATGTTATTCCTAAAGGTCCATGAACATTGGTTGGTGCCTTTTGTGAATCCCTTTTCATAAGCAATTTTGCAATAGGCCACAGAACTTAAGGTGTGACCTCACAGATCCCTACTTTTGTTTCCAACTGTTCAAATGCCTTTCTACAGCTCGTTTGTCTGATGGTTTTGGTGACTTAATTAACTGCTATTTTACATGCTGGATCTTGCGTTACTTGCCGCAGTTTCCTTAACTTCCGCTTATGTTTTAGCGGACACTCCAGAACAGGTAGTTCCTTATTAAGGTTCGAGAGTGTAATTTTGCTTGTTCATAACCTGTACACCGAAGCTGTAGAGGCAGTAAAGTCTTGGGCCACTTTATTGGCTTATTCCCTTAAGTGAATTTGGAGTCTGTGTGAAGTTAATTCAGAGGCCAGGCCAGGCCAGGCCAGGCCAGTCCTTCCAATTTGAACTGCTCATCAGTTATGCCAATAAATTAATCTCTAAAAACTTGATATAAAAGTCCTTGGAACAGAGATTTAGACAGTACACTGTCGTGGAAAATACATATTCTGCCTTATGAAATGCAGTACATATTATCACTTTTCATGTATCTTATTTATAACAAAGATAAATTCAAGTTAAATTTTGATATCTATAACCTGAATACTAGACAAACATATATAAATCTCACCTACCTTCATCAAACTTATCATTATTATCAAAGAGGAGTCTACTTTACTGGCATAAAATAATCTGCCACAAAGTATCAAAATTTGAGTAATGATACTGAACAGTTTAAATTAGCACTACAGTATTATCTGCATGCTCATACCTTCTACTCTCCAGATGAATACTTGAATGTAAATAGAGAATGATGTAAAATTAATATTACAAAAAATTTCAAGCAAAAATTGTCTGTACTAATATATGTAACTTATGTCTTGTTCTGTATCCAGTGGTATTAACCTGCTTAGGCTTTATAGAACGTAAATAAATTCAATTCAATTCCTTGAACTTATCACAGTGAAGTCTGCTTGTGACAGAATATCATGAAGCCTGGATATTTTTATGTTCTGGACAGAATAGCATTTGTCATAGGTACGTACAGATAAAATAAGAACTCCACTGTGTACATCCTGTGCATCTATGATCCAAGAAACAAATTATAAATTTGTGCCATATATATGTACATGCAAACACTGAGTAGAATTTGTTTCCAGTTTTGTGTGTGTCTTTGTTTCTGTTTCACTGTCACATTTCATTCAAATGCTCTCTTTTTCTGTAGTTCATTAAAAGTATTCTATGCCTGTCTGCTTTTGCCATCCTTCTTGTATATGTTTCAGGAAGCACAATACAGATCCAAATTTTATGGACAGAAGACAGATATTTCAGCAGACTTGTTTCCTTTTAAATTATTGCATTACCTTTCTCTGTCTGTGTTATAATGTAGTCAATTTAACATTAGTTTTCTGTTGTTTTTTTAATGCTAGTAGGATGGGACTAAGTCCCTTTTACTGCGGCCACTTCTGTCCTATTGTACCAACCCCAGATGATAGGTGAGGGTGATTGTGCAGCAATTAGTGGAATGAAGATTGGCAGAGGAAATCAAAACACTCGGAGAAAACCTACCCCAGCACCACTTTGTCCACCACAAATCCCACTTGACCAGACCCGGAATCAAACCTGGGTCGCCGCAGTGGGAAGCCAGCGACTAACCGCTTGAGCTATGGCGCAGCCTTTAGTTTCTGTTAGTCTCTTCAGGTCAGAGAACTTTTCCTATGAAGGCATTCCCATTCATATTTCATTTTAGATGGATTTTACTGTGTTACACGCGTTTCTCAGCTCATATTTTTCCATGGGTAATTTGGATGAACAGTTTGTGTATCACACAATATTGTACAACTTACTTTTCAGATTTTTCATTGTATATGATGAAAAAACTGAGGAGTTCAAGACGGCACGAACATACCCTAAGATGCTGCTTATTAATGTGACTCTGGATGGCAATGATGCTGTGAAACTCTCAGCTCCCAATATGCCAGAACTCCAGATTAAGGTCCCACAAGATTCAGAAAGTAACAAACGTACACACTGCAAGTAAGTAACAATTGAAGCTTTAGCCTAATATAATATAATTTAATCTATTTATATGTATGTAAAGATTTATAGGTTAGGACAGAGTGAAAAATTGCTCCATCTTTCATATTCTTTCTTTCTCCATTTCTTTATTTCTTTCTGTCATACTTTTTCAGTCTTCTACCATTTTCAGCTTTATTAACTAAAAGTGGATGTCATTTCCTGTTAAATGTAGTAGCAACTGCCCTAATCAGAATACACTGTCCTATTACATCATGATTTTATTAAAAATTATTTTAATTCCCCAAGGATATAATTCTTGTTTACAATGTGTGTCTAAAATTCCTCATTGGGCTCCAGAGATAGTTACAGATTTACATATATCTGAATCATCAACTTTTAGGGAGTGATTTTGTTAAATTACAACAGACCAGAGGGTTGCAAAACCCTTGGGAGCATTTGTATTTCTTTTCAAGGAGCTGTTCTTACATTGTTGTTTCAAAAATTGTCAAAATGAGACACAAATATCTCCAGATTATCTCATCAACCCTTTCATAAAATCTACACGCCTTAGTCTCATTATTTTTTCAGTAATTTGTTATGAAAATATATTAATGCAATTACTTTGATGTTATTACTTACATTTGTGTGTGTTCCATTTTTTCCCAGTATGATGTTAGACAACGTTCAGAAATGCAATAATTTGTGGAAGATCTTGAAACACGGATTAGCAGACAACTCTGTACTGTGTTATGGACATCTAAGCTTTGTCCTCATTTCCTAATTTTCTTGGAGAATGCACATGAACCCAAACTGAAAATCCTTCCAAGGGCCAGTATTCTCTGTCATGTAAAGTTGGTTCATTTGGCTGGCACTGCTGACAGCCAAAGAAATGGACTCAGGGCGATTGTGGATTCTGGCAGGAGTTGGCTGCCTCCTGTGGACAGTTGACCTGCTGCACCATTCCTGCATCACAGAAGGGACACAGTCATCAGGGGCCAGCAGGACAATGTTACAAGAAGAGCCCCTAAAAGACGGATGCTTGAGAAGAGACATTGGGCGCTACCTCAACGCAACAGTGACATAAGGGACCAAGGCATGAGATGGGAGCTGTGTCTGGGGAGTAAGGAGACATTTTATGAGGCCCTCGGACAAAACATTGGACTGGAGATCGCAAAGTGAGCAGTCAAATTTTCATTGGGCTGTGGAAAATGAGTGTAAAGACATCATGGAGAAACCTAAGAGCCAGAGAAGTAGGAGTACTGACCACTCTCAGAACTTTTGCCTGCAGCCCTTGGAAGAGAAGGATGGTGGTACACCCGGACCACGTGGCACCTTATCAGAGAACCGCTCAGGATGAGGAGCCTTAAGGAGGGAGCAGCGGGAGCAGTTGGAGAGTAATCTCCAAGAGAACTGAGTCACAGAGAAGGGAGGCAAGACCAATCACAGACGTCACAAGCACAGTCCTCAGATAAGAAGAAATGGTGGTACGCCTGTAGGCTACTTGGGATGAATAACCTTGAGGAGGGAGCAATGTGGTATGGAGACCCATTGTTAGGCAAAAGCCACGAGATAAGCAGTTATACACCAGCCGTTGCTCAGTAATGGCTCTGTAAACAACGGTTGTTGCTAGGCAATGGCTGTGTAGCAATCACATGATCATCCAAACCAACGTGAATGCAACATTGGATATGGCAACAGAGGAACAGTATTTTCTGTGTGGTCTGTGCAGAGATGTTATAAGCAGAGCAGTTGGAGCAATGACAGTTGCTAACCCTGTGTGGAGGCAGGGTCGAATACATCCACCATAGCCATGCAAATCATAGGAGGCAACAAAAAAGGAACCCAATATCTGGGGGTATCACTGGGCCGCCCTGTTCCTGCGGCATATAAATACCGGGACCTGGCTCTCCAGGTTGAGGGAGTCTCAAGTCTGAGACAGTAAAATATGAGCATGACTCTCAAACACCCTTAGTCTATGTTCCTCCCTTAATGTCAGACCAAGTTTCACACCCATACAGAACTGGAGGCAAAATTATAGTTTTGTATATTCTAATTTTTATGGTTTTAGACAGGAGCCTAGAAAAAAGTTTCCGAAGTGAATGGTAGGAAGCATTACCTGGGTTCAGTCTCCTCTTAATTTCCTCCTGAATCAGGTTTTGATTTGTTATAGCCGTTCCCAAATATCTGAACTGTACTACATTTTCAAAACATCTGTTACCTATGTTTATGTCATGATTTGGTCAGAGGCTTCTTGCAATCTTTCGTAACAAGCTTGTTTTTTATTGTGAGGAGTTGTTAGCCCCATGCCCAACTGCCAAGCTAGAGGACCACCCCTTTTGCACTGTCTGCAACTGCTTATTCAATATATTCACAGCTACCCTTTATACCTGGAGGACGTCTCCTCCATCCACAACCTGAAGACATGCTTGTGGTGACAAGGGACCCACCTAACATGGGTAAACAAATCCATTCTTAACCATCCAGTCTTTTTTCAAGGTAGCAGTTCAAACAGTATATTAAATACAGCTTATATTATGACCTCCTGCAGACTTGAGCATTTGAAATTAAAAACTCCCTGGTCATGAACAAGTATGAATGAAATTAAATGTCATACATATACTGAGGACTAATTAGTGATGTAATATTTTCTGTTTTATTTACTCAGACATTTGGGTAATTTCCTTGGATGAAGAAGGGCGATGAAAGAGTGGGGAATACGAGAAATTATAGTAATGTGAATTTGAGGCTTGTATGGTGGTGACTGTGAAGATTACTGAAGTCTGTAATTCCCATGTAACAGAAAATTTATCTGTTTGTGCTTCTCATGTGATATTAATAGAATACAAAGACAAAACAATTCCATCCAGTGTGACTATTTAAGTTTTACTACATGAAAACTTAGCACCCTTACATGTTTCGGTCCTTACAGACCATCTTCAGAGGAAACATTGATACTTATTCGGAAACTACTATCACAATGGGTGTGAAAACAACACAGCAAGCAACGAACAAACACAAGACGACAAGAAGAATCTCCTTCTCAAGATAGACAGGTGGCACAAGATCAGCCCCCATCAAGAAAGATGATAAGAGAAGGGACACGAACCTACTTGGTTTATAAATTTTAACTTAACAAAGTTTTAAAAATTTTAATATACCAGGAAAGCAGCTGTGATTGTGAAAAAGTTGGATTTTATGTATATTGTGCATTCCAGGCATAGTGTATGTATGTATGTATTTTAGCACTTAGAACACCCATTGTGATAGTAGTTTCCAAATAAGTATCGATGTTCCCTCTGAAGATGGTCCGTAAGGACCGAAACATGTAAGGGTGCTAAGTTTTCATGTAGTAAAACTTAAATAGTCACACTGGACAGAATTGTTTTGGCTTTTTAATTGATAGTGTGACGGACCAGAATGAAACAAATCAAATTATTAGAATAATTAAGTAAGAGTGCTGATGTGTGAATGGCATGTTTCATGGGTGAGTGAAGGAGGAAATATATATAAAATTTTCTTGGAAAATTTGAATATAAGAAGCCCCTTGAGAGAGTTAAACATTAATGGAGCAACAGTATTAAAATTAATCTTAGAAAACTAGTTTATAAGTATATAAACTTGACAGAACTGGTTCCATATAGTTTCTATTGGCGGGATTTTTCTATGATGAAACTTTAGATTCTGTAGGAACTGAAAATTTTTAATCAACTGAAAAACTGCCATGCTCTAATGGTGCTCCAGTGAAACAAAATTATCCTTCCCTCATTAAAAACAACTTACCTTTCTCAACACTTTGTCTCAATAATACAAAATTCCCAGACACTGTGATGAAAGCAGCCATTGGTGTTGTAATCCTGAAAAACAAGAGCCAGAGAGACACTAATAGAAATATGGCATAACCCAATCACATAAATCATGATATCAATTATGGCTAAAGATTGGGTTAGTAGACAACAATACCAGGTCTTGCAGTTTGCACTTATATTCATACTGCTGCATGACAGGTTTAGATGAATGTCATTTAATCATCATGAAGTTAACAAAGAAGCAGCAGGAATTAATTTTCATTTTTCAAAAATAAAAAAAGAGGAAGAAAGCAGTCTTCTGGGATTTGGCACCGTGTATATGTGGTGTTAACCGACGTTTCGGAGGAACATATCGCCTCCA